TATTGAGACCTTTTGTTGTATTATTTTCAATAAAATCAATTGAAAATATTAATTTTCATCTTTCGTTTTATTTTAGCTATCTCCGAGGAACTTTGAAAATCGTCGATCATCAATTTGTTTAAAGAAAAAAGAAATTAATGATCGAGAGAAGGAGTATCTCGGAGAAGTATTATAAATGTAAAAAAATATTTTGTTTAAATTATTAAAAAGCTTTACCATTATAACTCCCATATCATTATAATATTTCCTTTGTATTGTCATTTTATTTTCCATAGAAACCAGTTCTCTCATCGCCGTCATTCATAAAAAAAAATATTTCTGTTACTTATCATTGGCCGCGTCTGTAAAAAAAAAAAGATTTTCTTCCGGAAAAAAAAAAACACACACACACACACACACACAAAAACTAGAATCTTTTGTCTGATTTTTGGTTTCTTTTTTTCTTTTTTCTTTTCTTAGTTTTTAATCTTTGTTAAATTGTCAAATAATTTCTTTTCAGAACATACACACACAATACGTAACATACTTACATGCATAATCTCTCTCACACAAATACACACACACACACATAAAAAACATATGCGCGCAGTTCTTTCTCTCCACGTATTAAACACTTCTTCCCACTGGAATCGTTGTCGTATTTTCGCGACGATTTTTTTGTAAACTCGAAAGAAACGGGGACGTCGAGAAGCGGCTTAAAAAAATTAAAAAAAAAAAAAAAAAAAAAAATATATATATAAAAAAAAAGAAAAAAAAAAAAAATACGAAAGATATATTTGCGAGGACATATTGAAAATGAAAGATAGAAAGAAAGTGAGAATGTGAGGGAGAACGACGAAGAAAAAGGTACGAGAAAGATATTAAGAATGACAAAAGTGGATAAGAAAAAAAAAATAGTTTAAAATGTCACACACCCACAACCACAACCAACCACCCACATCCAGACTCACACATCCACACACACACACATACAAAACATAAGCGTACACAGAAACACATTACAAATGTACTAGGTAAGTTCATAACTGCGTATTGCCTTTCTGACTTCGGTGTGAAAATATATAAATAAAAAAAAAAAGTCAGTCGTGCCAGGACTCACGGATTATCGGATTATATCATATAATAGTTGTTAGTTAAGTCTATGGGGACAATGCGATTGGTTGGACTCTCTTAGTCAGCCTGGTTCTTCTTCTTATTCTTCTAACTTTAGATTTATTTTCTTTATTTCTTGTTTTTTTAATACCTATGAGAGAAGATTTGATTGTAAAACGTCTTCTCGAAAAAGAAAAATCAAATTTTAATAAACAAACCACAGTTTGTTTTTTTTTATATAAAGAAGATATTAAATTTTTTTCTGTTCGCAATATTTGACAATCTTATCGCGTTATTTTCTTTATACTTTAGAAAATGAAACGAAAAAAAAAAAAAAGAAAAAGCATTTGTCTTCTCGAAGAAGAATCAGACTTATCGCAAGGAACCCTTTTTCCACGATATTTCCGTGAAATAATCTCTCATTAAAAACCGAAATCCGCGTGTCTAAGGCCCGGCTGTGTCTGTTTCATGTTTTTCAATATTTGTAATTTATCGATAAAATATTATAAAAGGTATCGATACATAACAGTCTAAAGTGTGCGCTACTCTACATAATATTATTATATATAAAGTATAAAAGTATACATTATATATATAAATATATATATATACATATATATTATATATGAGAAGTATAATATATATATATTATACACACATTGGGATTGGTGAAAATATACGGTTTTTTCGCTTTGGAGTGTTATTTTCTGAAAATATTGAACAAAATATGGAAAAAAAAATGAATAAAATCAATGAATAAAAAAAAAAAACAAGTCGGACGTTTTTTTCAGTGCGATTCCTATTTGCTCACTTTGTGTCCGTTTTTTTTTTTTTTTTTTTTTTGTAAATTTTATATTATTTCTTTTCTTTTTCTCTGTCTTTTTATTATATCCAACCATCGAGAATATATCTGTGATCCGTTCGTTAATTGATAACGATGCAAAATGAAGAAACTAATTCGTCCATTGGATCGTCAAACTCTTCTTCCGTTAGATATATGAGCACGTTACCAAATTTTGTCAACGATACTATTGGGAAATTATTAAAAATTGATAATTTCAAGCCGCAATGTATGATCGAGTAAGATTGCAAATTAATTTTATACGAATATATTTAAATAAATATTAGTGCATGTGTATTATTAATAATTTCATTTATTTTTAGAATATTAGGAAATTTTCTTGGTATCGTAGATTATGAAACAAATTTAGCGACATTTTGGTTCCTGGATATTTTAGCTCTACAAATACTTCGAAACAATGACACCTTTGACGATTATTCACGTTGCATCTTTATCAGCTGGTTAGTAGGAGAAATGCAATTGATTCGAGGTAAATTTTTTTAATAAATAATAATTAGAAAATCAATTATTATACTCGTCAACTATATATATAACTATATAATATATAATATATATATATATATATGTGTTCAAACAGTTGGGTCATATTTTTTAGATGCAAAATGTTCGCGCGAAAAGTTCTTCAATAAAATGGAAGTAATATTCACCGAGACTGCTAAGAAAATCGTTCAAGGTGAAAAGATTCCTCATTGGAATCTAATTAGGTTTGGTGATGCAGAGATGAAATCGGAAATGGAAGAGGAAGAGAGAAAATTATCGCAAGAACACGATTCATCCTCGCTAAGGGATTTGAAATCGGTAAGAAAAATCTTTAGACATTTATTACAAAATGACGAATTATATTTAATTATCTATCGTACAATATTTTTCGGTTCTTTTATTCTTTTCTTCTTTTTTCTTCCAGAGAACGCAAACTCTGACAGAAAAAAACTGGAATGAGGAAGAAATACTTTTAGACGTAATTATTCGGTCCACGTACGACATGTTAGTATATAGTTCAAATTTTAATTATGCAATTAATATGAAGTATATTTCTTTTTTTTTATTTCTCTCTTTTTGAAGCTTTAAATATTTTTTAATTAACATTCTTGACAGGTACGCCGGGGAAGTACGTTACGCTCTCGTTTATGCGGTATTTGTGGAACCGATTGAGATACAGGTTGACAATTTACCTTTTAGTTTTCGAAAACCTCGTCCAGTTCGACTGGCAGATTCAAACGTTGAACATTTTTATATACGACTTCGAAACAGTTTGCGAAAAGTCGAAGAACAGGATAGCAAAAAGATTAGAAAAGTTACATCAAGTACATCGTTATTCTGTAAATAATATTATATAAAAAAAAAATTAATATACACGTTATAGGAAATATGATTTTTTAGAGAAAAGTACGAAAGGTACGAAAAAGTTACAACGTCTAAAGGAGGAATCAGAAAAAGAATATCCACCACAACCACCGAATTCTTTACCGGACGAAGATATCATCTCGAATGAACGGAATTTTATTTTACCATTGATAGAATCGAACGAAGCTGTTGCTGTTTTTGAACTTCACCGTGGGACGATATAGTTGTTGGCGAATTTTATGTATCATTCTTACTTATAATATAGCATAAGTAACTTAAAGAATAATGATTATACAAATTAATTTTTATTTTTCCTTACTTTAATTTAATATTATATAAAGATATTATGTTATAGAAGAAATCTGTTTTGTCGATATCATCGTACCCCATTCTTGACATTTAAAGTCTATGATATTTTTACGATCTAACGGAATGTCTAATAAAAAAAAAATGCTAGAATTCATAATTTTTTTCCGTGATTGTCCCAATTGTCCATATTTGTTAGAACCACAACCCCAGAACGATTTGTCATCTATTACGAATAAATCAATTATAAAAACGTGCATTAAGGATATATTAAATTGACGTAATAAAATCGTACGAACCAGTCATACATATGGTAAATGTATTTCCACATTGTACTTTTTTTACGTTTACATCTATGAGTTCTTCTTGATCATTTTTAAAATTTATTACTGTAGGAATTGCTACGACTTTGGTGTTTCCGTTTGGTATACCTAATTCTCCGTTAACATTCCATCCCCAAGTATAAAGATCCCCCTAATTTGTAGAAAGAAAAATCTTACGATTTCTTTCATAAATCGCGTTCATGTACTATTAATTAGATTAGTTACTTGATCTGTTATAACAGCATTGTGCCAACCTGCAGCAGATATTTGCACTACGTTAAGACCAGCCAGTGCTTCTATTAATTGTGGCTCGTCGCAATCTTCCAAATCACCGTGTCCTAATTGACCACGACTATGATATATTGTAATTCATAATATTTAAAATTGATTAATATATATGTATTATGCTAAAATAATAAATTTTATCAATTTAATACATACGTTCCCATACCCATAGAATAAACATCCCCATTTTTCGCTAACAATATTGTGTGATCAAAACCACAAGCGAAATCTACAAATTTAACCCTTTTTGGCATTTCTACCAAAATAGGAATATTAAAAATACGCCCTGAAAATAAATGTAAATCTCTGTTAACACTTTGACTGCCATATCGAATTCACATGTTTCGCTTAGGACGCCACAGTAGTATCTTTATTATTCAAGATTTCATAGATATTAATCTTTCATTTTTGATATTCTAATAAAAATTTGTAATTGTTCAATGAGGCACTTTTTATTTCAAAATATATTCTAATTAGCAGTAATGTTCAAAATGCACTTACTGTAAATTTTCATTCAACTTTTACAATTGTAAATATTTAAGCACTCTCGTTACCAATGACCACCATGGCATCATAGAAGAAACCGTGATTTGTCATATATGACCAACATTGCAGTCACTAATATTTTACCTAAATTTGTAAGAATTACCGTACACCCTCCTTGTGATATTTTGATAGGATATTCATCTTCCGATTCTTCATTAATGTTAATACAATTAGAAATTTTCTTCCAAGATTTTTCATAAAAACGGTATTGCCAGATTTCATTGTTTGTTGTTGAAATTATTATGCTTTCCCTTCCAGCACTAACGATTTTACATCTAGACTAAAATCAATTTTTAATACTACTCAAAGTAATATAATTATTCACTGTTTACTTCTACAGAATCATTATCGTTACCTTTCAGAAGGTTTGGGAATTTGCAGTAACTCAGACGGTTTCTTGTCATCATCACTGCCTACTTTTCCTGTAATATACAACTCAAAATCTTTCCAAAGGAGAAAATAATTCCAACTAATCTCCATATTTGTAACACCAGGAAAAGGAACTTCTGTTAATTGATCTAATACTATAGAGGTGTCATCTTCATTTCTGAACAATGGGCTTGCATTGAAGCCAGTATAGTAGAACCTCATACTTCTATAAATTATTTGGAAAAATAATTTGTATATATATATATATATATATATATATATAAATAGTAGAGAACGTAGCATAGCAACCTATCATATAAACAATTATTTTATTTCTGCATCAATGATCGCTTTAGAAAATGATAATAAGAGAAATATATACCAAGTAAAATATATACACAAAATAAAAAACATTGCACATAACCTATAAAACGAATTAGAAAGCAAGGTTAAACAATACATATACGAATACGCAATATTAATCTAAATAATAAAATATACTAACGTCATATTTTGCAATTACACATAAGAAATTATTTATAATTTATAATATTCACTGATTAACTAACATAATGTAACACAAAACTAATCGTTTAATATAACAACCTACTCCAATGAATTTCTTTGCACTGTTGGTAGCATCGCCATAGAATTTATAAGTTTCGTGTAGCAACAAGTTAAATTTACACATCACTTTTTTGATACACACATATATGTGTTAAATAAATTTTTAAATTTATATATTTATTGTTAAAATTTTAATTCCAACAACAATAAACAATTTTTCAAACTTTCTGAAGTAATGTAAATGGAATGTTAATCATAATTATGCGCCCAATATAGTCCATCTAACACATTTATAAATTAAATATATAGTTTACTTTTTTAAACTATATATAATAAAAATTTATAATTATATATATATATATTGATAATGACAGACTCTCTCTATAAATTCTCATCAATAACAATAGTCCATAAAAGTTAATAAAAAATATCTAAATGTTTGAAAATATATTAATTAAATTACCTATTAATAGATTTACTACTTTTATATATACGATAAAGAACTTTAAACGTCACACTCTATTCAATATTTTGACGTCTTTTCCAATATTCACTGGAAATTCAGATTTTCTGGTAGTCATTTTGAAACTGCCCACCCGGTATAAAAGTATTAAAATTGTTTTCTCGAGTCGCAAAAATGAGAGAATTGTAACAGGAAAGCATGATGATACAGGAGCTACAAGAAGTGGCACGACAAATAGTACGCTCTGTCGCCGCTTGGAGCGCTCATCGGTCGGTAAAAAGATTTGTGATCCGATGGTAACTTACCCTCGATAACTTACCGACCGTGTCAAGGGTAGGTTACCATCGGATCACAAATCTTTTTACCGACCGATGAGCGCTCCAAGCGGCGACAGAGCGTACTATTTGTCGTGCCACTTCTTGTAGCTCCTGTATCATCATGCTTTCCTGTTACAATTCTCTCATTTTTGCGACTCGAGAAAACAATTTTAATACTTTTATACCGGGTGGGCAGTTTCAAAATGACTACCAGAAAATCTGAATTTCCAGTGAATATTGGAAAAGACGTCAAAATATTGAATAGAGTGTGACGTTTAAAGTTCTTTATCGTATATATAAAAGTAGTAAATCTATTAATAGGTAATTTAATTAATATATTTTCAAGCAAAAACTCTAACGCACGTGTAACAATTTCTATGTAAACATTTATTTTCTTCAAATTATCTTATACATGAATTATTTTGTAATGCAAGATATATGGATTTCCGAAGCATTAATAAAGTGCGCAAGGTCCACATGAGAGTAGCGATATTAATCTTCTGTCCTTTGACATTTATTTTTATTTTCATCATGTATATGTATAAAATAAAGTTCTTTTGTTTTGGTAACTAATTATTTATCATATTTAATTTATCATATAAATTGCATGAATATTAACATAATACATTATACATATAATTTTGTACAGTCTTTTTATGTTGTAGTAATATAATATAATCAAAAATTAGATAATCGTAAAGGTATTAACTTTTTCGTATAAAATGCATTTGCGGAAGTATAACATTATATATATTTTATTAATATATATATATATATATCCGATTTTGTACAAGACTTATTATATTAAACTTATTTTATTGTTGTAACAATATAATATAATATGACTTTTATACGATAATATTATAGAATTATAGTATACTAAATCTTTGCAATGATAAATTTAATGATGAAGTATTGTAACAGTATTTGAACAGTATTTTGTTATCAGTTTTTCGTTTCTACCTTCTTGGTATCTTTTATAACAAACTAGTTCCTTTTGTACCTTCTTAAATACTTGAAATATTAATTAATTCAAATAGTAAGATATTCTCAATATTATATTGATGCAAACTCTAATACGATCAATTAAAAATATCGTCGATTGAAAAAATTAACTTTTATTTGTATTAATGTACCATTCGCAAGATTTAAGAGCACCATCGTTTATGCACCATTAATATATTATATTATTAGGAACTAACACAATTAAGTTCGATTATTGCTATCGAAATTCCGTGCATTGCATTTTCTTTTTCTTCTTTGAGACGTATAAATAATAATAATAATAATGACTATAATTATAATTATTATATTCAATATAAGAAACACGAATATATCTAATAAGATCGAAATATTATTATTACTTTTGAGATCCCATAGTAAAATAAATATATAGGTCTCAATTAATGTTCACTTATTGAACTATAATTTCTTATAATTTATCTTATTATTATTATTATTTCATATCTTTTACTTTAATATTTTCATGTAACAAACAAAAACGAAGAAAAAGAAATATTTATCGATGTCGAAGCTCGTCATACAACATGGAAAAAATACCATGATATTAATTTTAAACGATGATATTCATTGTGTTAAAGCTTTGCACTGTTCACAGTTTTCCATTCGTTCGTTGAACTCTTCTATTTGTAACGTCATCTCGAAGAAATTATAAGTATCGTGAATGTTTCTCGTGGCTGTACGTAAAATATTTTGCGGACTTGTACCAGGTTCTGTAAAAAAAAGGAGAAGAAGGAAAAGTTCACATAAATTGTTTTGATCAAATAAATAACAGTTATAAACTTGTGATCGGTAAACCCATTCATTAAGATTAAAGTAGATTAATTATTTTTGTTAAAACGACAAAAATCTGATGTCGTTGTCTTTTCGTAATAACATTAACGTCTTTGCAAACTTACTTATAGCTAAATGTGCTGACAAAGCGGTTTTGTCGAGTGAAAGAGCCCAAATCCGCAAATTGTGTACTTTCACAACACCTTCGATTTGCATGAACGTATTCTCAACTTGAGAATAATCGAATCCTTTAGGCATTCCTTCCATAAGTACGTTCATAACATCTTTAATAATTGCCACGGTCGTGAGCATGACTAATATCGAAAATAGAAAAGTACAGATAGGATCAACTATGTTCCACGTTGGCTAGAAAAAAAAACAAGCATAAGAATAAAAATTATAATAATCAAAATAATATAACCTTAATATTTCAATTGTAATAATAAAAAAAAAAACAAATATTATAAAATATAATATAATACTAACTTTAAAATAGATAACTAACGCTGCAATAAAAACTCCTATACTTTGAATAAAATCTCCTACAACGTGTATAAACGCAGCACGAACGTTTATATTTTTGTGTTCATCCTTGTGTGACATATTTTCTATGTCTGTTATCTTTTTCATATCATGATCATCGTGATCATGATGACTATGTCCACCATGAGTATGACCATGCTGATGCAAACTTAGACCCATTCTATAACAAATGTTAAAAGTCACGAATCTTAAATATATCAGGCCCAATAACTATCATATCAAACATCTCCATGCTATTTTATTAAATAATACTACCACAAATAAGTGTGCTATTTAAAGTGGTAAGAGTTATTGGATTATTCAACCAAGTGCATTGCAAAAAAAAATGATTATGCTTTGAAAAATGTCTTAAATAATATCGTCCGAGAATAAAAATTTATAAATATTAATTAATAATATAATTATTTTTGTAATATCACTAACACTAGATTTACCGCAACACCAACTGCAGAAGTAATTAACATCACAGTTACGTCTAATTCAAAATTCTTGTTAATTATTCTTTCTATAGCGAGGTAGAATAAAATCCCAGTGACAACCCATATCAACAGGACCGACGTTAATGCACCTATCACCTGCATACGCAAAAAATCATATTTAAATTAAAAATTGAACTTAATAAAATGAACAAGAAAAAAATATCGTGAATAATAACTCGTGTAGAATTAAAAATAAAACTAGTGTTCTTTAGAGAAAGTAAAAGTTTATACCGTCTATTACTTGATACTTACTTCCGCACGATACCAACCGAATGGCATTTTTCTTGTTGGAGGCCTTCCTGCGACCCAAATTGAAAATAGAGAAATCATGAATGATGCGAAATCGGTCAGCAAGTGTGCTGCATCTGTAGCTATGGCCAAACTGTTAGATAGTACACCACCTGTTTAATTACAATATACTCATTATAATGAAATATTTATGTATCAAACGTTATTAATATGTGTACGAAAAGAAGAAGGAAGAAATATGCATGATATGCATGATAATTTACCGATTATTTCAGCTATCATGAAGAACACGCATAGAGCACTCGCAAGTAAAAGCTTTTTCCGGGCTTTCTTGTCAATTTCTTTATTTCTTTCTCGATGACAATGATCTTCTGGTAATACTGGAAATAATTTTCCTAATATATTTTTTTTCTCCGGATTGATATATATACATTTTAATATTGATTTGTGTTGCCTTAATAAATGTCGGCATTTGAATGAGATTAATTTGAAACGTAGTAGACATTTTATTACGTACGTTTATTATATGTTAATTACGTTTTTTCCTTAAACATTTTATTTTAAAATAACTTCAATAAAATGAATAAATCTTACTGGAAGAATCGGGCGGCGCATTTTCGTCAATTCCTTTAACAATGGTACAACAACCAGATAGTTTTCCATGAACGCAGAATATCACTTTCTTCGATGATATCTCATCTTCGGATTCATTATTATTAGGAGGTATACTTGTTCCATAACCGTAGATAGCTGTATCTTTAAATCTGAAATAATCGTTAACATTTTGCACGATTAAATGATTTTCTTGATTAATCAAATACAATTTAAGAATATGAGTAAGTAAAATGAGCATAAGGAATGAATCGATGATTATTAAAATGATTAGATATTATAAAGTGTTTACACATTATTTTTAAAGAATACAAAGTTATATAAAAAGATTTTTATTTTTTTATTTTTTGCAAAATAAATTTAGTTGTTTCTTCCATCTTGAAAATAGAAAAACGATTGGTAAAAAATTATTTTTAAATATGATGATCTCATAAATTATTTTAATACTTTTATACTCGTAATGCTACGGATAAAATTTAATTGTTTTTTTCTTTCGTTGGTAAACGTTAAAATTAAAATTAAAAAGAAAAAAAGAATAAACCAATTAAGTAATATAATGGAATACGTTGGGCGAACATAATTTTTAATTTATGTAATGAGTCGAATAAATCAAAACGACTTTATAATCTGTTATGACTTACAATTAGAACGTAAATGGGATTTATGTTTCTGTATGAAATAAATTTTGAAAAGTCGTAAGTATTACATATGTGAATATTTGTATCCAAATCATTTTTAAATCTTTCTAAACGGAAACTCGTAAGATTATTCTTACTTACAATTAATAAAATACGTAAAAGAATCAATAAAATCCGATAAGCATAACATTTCAATTATCACTGATAACATCGTGACACGTTTATCATGATTATACAAATAGTGTTAGTTATGTATACCAACATTGTAACATTAAAAGATCTAAGTTTTTCCTATGATTTAATGATCTAATGATTTTTCGTATTATTTTTCGTAAGTTACAACTAATGTATTAATTCGTGAAATAGTTTATCAATGATTTATAATATGTGTTTAATAAAAAATAAATTTAAAAATAAAATGTATTTTACGAGAATGAGATTTGTAATAACAAAAAGATGAGTAGTCATTTTAATAACGAGGAAAACACACAATATCGTTTGTAAAAATCTTAATTATACGTGGCAGTTGTACAATACGATCCACGTGGTATTATAAATGACATATTTTCGCGTTCCAAGAGTCCTCGAAAGTTCGATAAATATCTACATTTTCGAAAATTATTATTTTAAAGTATGCAAACAAATTATTATAATTGTGTAAAGAAGTAATCAATCAAAATTAAACTTACTAAAAAACTAATAAAAAATTTCGATATAAGAATTTCTATTTTTTTTCACAGGAAGCAAAATTACAATTTTCGATTGAAACAATTACAATTATTATGATTAGAGGAAAAATATGATTAGACCAGCAAAATAATTAGCGATCGCGAAATTGCACTTATTAGAATATAATCAAAGATCATTATCTTATGCATCGAACGTAATCATCAACATTTTTGTCAAGTGTCATATTTTCTCTTACTAAGTAAAGATTTAAAATTTTTGTCACGATGAGGACAACTACAAAAGGAAGGGCATACTCGTTATTGCGTATCGCTTGTTTAACAGTGCGCATCGTTAAACTTCCTTCTACCGTGTTGATACGACGAACGATCTTTTATCTCTGTTTGTCCGGCATTCATATTAGAGAAAACAAAATAATACAATCTCTAAATGAATTATTATTATTATTATTATTTTTTAACGTATGCATCACATCCTCGAGATTTTGCTGAAACTATTCATTTAAATTATACGAATATTCGTACTTGTTGAATATAATGGAGGAAATATAATACAATGAATTTATTAAAATCGTTTTAAATATTGAAAATAATACAATTATATATCCAACGATATTACAAGTATTGTATCATTTTCTTATCGAACGATAAGAGATTATTCTCAACGTATCAATATCTATTATCAAATTGTCACAATGTTTTTACCGAAACGAAACAGGTAAGCAAATATATAAAAAGATATTTGTCATTGTCTATTTCGTATCTATTATTGTGTCTATTATCATCAACGATCGCAAATCTTTCTAATCTCATACATACACACGCGCACACAAATATAAATAATTAATTTTTCTTGGTAGATTAGAAAATAGCATTCTTTGTTTGCTTTACATAAAACTCTATCTATGTCATTTCTTAAAATAAAATCAAATTAATAAACCAACATATAAAAGAAATGAAATATAAATTAAATTAAATTTAATTTAATTTAAAAAGTATGCCAATTATTCAATCCTATAACTCAAAGAAACTAACAAACATAATAAATAAAAAAAAAAAACAAGATACATTAATCATTTATCAATTGCACATTTCCATGACATCGAATAAATGTATTACATTATATCGTAAATACTTTGAATAATCACTATGATTATTATCAATAATTAATTGATCTTTCCAACGAAGTATTTAATACCTGACAATAAAACTATATAAAACCGAAGTATTTGGTTACAAATCTGTAAATCAATAATGAGAGAGAGAGAGAAAGAGAGATCAAATTTCCAACTTCCAATTTGTGGTTAATTATAAAAATGTGTAAAGGATTCCTCAATAAGGAATGAAGAAAAAAAGAACATGATATTTCAAAGTTGGAAAGTGTTTCAAGGTCAACTTTCCGTGATTTCCAAGCAACTAAGGTATATGACCCAACGTCGCTCTCGATTACCGTTATATACGTATAAGTACTTATATATATATATACAGGGTGTACTTGTGTAACACGATTAACAAATTTCCTCAATACGTATTATTATAAATTCCTTTGATAATGATTCTCATTTTTTCCTAAAAATTATTAACTTATTTTTCGACATATATGCAACTTGCATTACCAATGTAAATTTTGTTTTACATAAAAATTACATATTTTTTTTTCATTCTTTTCATTGAAGTATGTATACGTACAATACGAAACATAAGTATTGACATGGATTACATTTTTTGTAAAGCTGTTAAAAATATTTCTTAGGGTCCAAAGTTGAAGTATGCATTGCAATGCTTGTAATTTACTTCAACACTTCAGACACTTGAAAGAAAAATATATTTAAATTATAAAAATATTCGCTAAAGATTAACAAACTTTTATATAGAGGATTATATATATAAAAATATTATAAATTTGCGAAAAGATATTTTTCTTTTTTCGATCACTGTATTTATAATCTACTTTGCCGACCTGTTTTATTTCAATAAAAAATTACAAGGTGCGCGAGTTTTCTTTTTTTTTTTGTTTGAGTCATTTCATTGAACAAGTATGCACTAAAACGATATCGATAAATTGAATTAAGCATTTGATTGCTCCAAAATTTTTCGAAACATTGCATTCCATGAATAACATAATCTACTTTACCTCGATCTATCTTTTTTTTAATGAAAGATAGAATAAAAATACCACGTGACTTTTCTTTGTTTTCTTTTTTTTCATTCCTTTCATTGCGTACACTACGAATATGTAGTAAAAAGGGATAATGATTGATAAATATTGACCATTTGATTTCTCTCATTTTCCAAGACATTGTAGCGTAATGCACAATATCTCTGATAAGACTTGTGTGATGGGTGTAAGAAAGTAGAAGGACGATTAAACGCATAAATGTATTAATTTTACGCGATAATATTAACGATTTATACATATATACTTGCTTACTTATTCTCGTCAGTTACGCGATATAATATTCGAATAGAGAGAATAAAAGAGTGAAAAAAAAAAAGACAGAAAAGTAGTATAGAAAATTAAAAAAAAAAAATAATGAAAGAAAATAATAGTAATAGTAATAAGAGATGAAACAGAAAAAGAAACATAGTAATAGTAGTAATGGTTAACTAGAAAAGAAGAAATAGGGATAAAAAAGATGAAGAAAAGATTATTAGTAATAATGGTATATTTAAAAAAGAAAAAAATAGGATGAATGAGAAATATTGTGTAATATAATAAAAATTAAAGGAAGAATAGAAAAATAGTAATGATTGTAAGTAGTAAAAACAAGAAAAGAAGAAATAGAAAAAACGGAATAACAACAACAACAACAACAACAACAATAACAACGATAATAATAAAATGATAAAATAATAAAATCGTAAAAATTCATTTAAATTCTAAAACTACTCACTGACGAAAATATTCGTTTCGTTGTAATCCCACGGAAAAAATATCGTATTGTTTATATTCGAAGTGTGAAAAAAATACGATAGAAAGTTAATAAACTCACAGTTTAATCTTCTCGTTGTCCATGATAGGTAGAAGACTCGAATAAAATAGATACAGTTAACAGGATGATGATGAAGAAGAAGAAGTAAACGACGACGACGACAATACAATTGTTTAAATGGTAGACGATGATTTTATCGAAGGATAACTACGCGCGCACGTGTCCTTGCTAGACAGGAAATTTTCTAGATTTATATAAATATATATATATACATATACAGGAGATTTAAAGGATAAGAAGAAGGAGGATGAAAAATAAAAATAAAAATAATACCCCTCCCCAAAAAAAAAAAAAATTTTAGAAAGTAGAAAAAAGAGGTGGAATGACGTGGTGGAAAGTGAAAGAAGATGATAAGGATGAAAAAGGAAAAGAAATTGTTTGGAAATATTTGGACACCGATTCGTAGTATCCGTTAAACGATTGAAGAAGAGATGATAATATTGTACCGTAGTGGTCACTTCTCAAATAAACAACAAATTCTACCCACTGCATAGCTTCTTTCGGCCACTTGAACGTGCGTATAGCACGAACAGTTTATTTTAACAGATAACTTAACTCTGAATCCTCCTCTTCTACCTCCCACCACTAACACTTTATATATCTATCTATCTCTTTCTTTCTTTCTTAATACCTATCTTTCTTCTGCTTTCAACTCATTCCCAACGGTTCTCAACTTTTCATTGACGTATCTTCAGGGATATGTCTTCTTGTGATATATTTTATGGGGTACTTGTAATTAACAAAAAATTGCATGAGCTTCCTCTTCATGATTATTAATTATGAATAAATATTTAATTGTTATACATATATATTTGTTCCCTTTTATACATCTGGAAAAATACAACAAAATAACAACATTTCTTAAAAGAACGTAAATAATATTTTATTAATAAACTGAATGAGATCGTTTTTTTTTTTCTTAATTATTTTTAAGAATAATAAGATTAAAACCTTCTTGGTGTTTTCTCAAATGAGGATAACATGACAAATACATGTTACAATAACATCGTAATAGACTAAATAAAATAATTTCCTGATTACTAAAATAATTGTTTTCTTTTTTTTTTTTGAAATTAACTGCAAAGCGGAACGTACGACTAAAAGGAATTGAAAACCACTCTCCTTATAACAATATATATATATGTATCCCTTCTCTAACAGATTCTTTTTGATCTATCGATCTCCCACTTCTCGATCCATTACTACTATCTCTTTCTTTTGATTTCTTTATTTCTCTCACGTGTAAATAATTACCTTTATCTTTTTTCTTTTCCCTTTTAAATCACATTGTAACATTAAATAATTATCAAAGGAAATAAATTAGATCATACTTATAACTACATCAATTCAATAAAAGAACTACGAAAAAACCAATGGGAAAGAGGATTGAACTCGAAGATCGGATAAAATCGGATTAAATCGGTTCATTCCGTTAAGATTCCAAACGTCGGATTCCTTTACTCGATCGATAAGTTAGCAAACATGCGCGAAATTCAAATTCTTGTTTTAAGATATCTTCAATGAACATTATTAAATTATTGATTAATACATAATATTTATAAAATATTTTTATATTATTTATACAAATTATTAAAACCCAATAAATATTTTTTAAATAATTATATAAATATTTATATATTTAATATAAATAATAATATACTTTTTATATTATATGTATAGATATATATTTGATTGTTGTTTTATATTGTTCTTTTGTTTTTTACTTTTTTCCTATTTCTTCTTCTTCCTCTTTTTATTAGAACTTTATCCTGTTATAATAGCTTTTTTTTATTGCTATTTCTAGGAGCAATTTATTATTTCTTATTTCAATAATAAAATAATTCAATAATTATTCGAAAAATAAGAGTGAAATAATCATACTTAAACATATATCAATCGGACTTTTCTACAGCTTTTTAACTATATACTTTAATTCTAATTTTTTAATTAGAATTCATTGTCATCGTCATCGCTTATCATTCTCATAAATTTCCACAGAATTTTATGTAACTATATTAAATAATAAAATCATATAAAAATGACTTACTCGTTGTTCTCGTTCTGCATATTATTCTCCATAATTCATAGATTTCCGAATATCTTCTTCTAGAATACCTTCTGAATAAAACCCCCAAAACAAATGATGTTGAAGAAATGTGAACAGTTAAGAGTCTACTGAAGAAACATATCCAACAGACAAACTCAACGGAAAATATCATTGTCCATTTTATCTGCCATCTCTTGTGTCTTTTCGGATTGTATTTATTATCGGACAAAAGAAAAGCTTTAATTGACATTATGAGATGACCAAATCTAATATCATTGTCCGATATCGTTCGAGAACAAAAAATGATGATACAAGTCCGTTATCAGTCATGCACAATATTTGCATTTTTAAATCAATTTCGATCCACTATCACGATCCGATCCGATTGATTCTCGGTCTACGTAAATAAATATTTACAAATTGTGACAGCAAATGTTCTTCAGAGATGTCTCGCGAATAGATCATTATCAATAATCATATTTGTGTATGTATTTGTAAATACGTCTCCTGATAATTTGAAAATAAATGTTACTTCCTTGTGTTCAAATAAAAACTATTTTTAATAATCGAAAAAACACTTAAAAGTTCTAATAAAAATAAAACAATGAAAGAGAGACAGAAAAAAAAACATAGTTTTGACACAAGATCGTACAAAAATTGCATAAAAATTTTTCTGTAATATATCGTAAATGTATAATATGGTAATGTGACATAACAAATATACACACTTTTGGTATTTGAATTTTTGTTTTACAGAAAATTGGTGGAATTTTTAAATAGGAAATTAGATATCTTGCTTTAACACGATAGGAATGTGTGTGTGTGTGTGTGTATAATATTATAGAAAATAATTGCATATCTTCGTAATGAAAATCCTGCAAAACATATTTTACAAACGATACAAGTTTATTGTTTACGACTATAATATATATAGGTAATAAAAAATCACAATAGTTTTTCGACAACATTTGTGGACTATGCGTCCCATGTCCATATTTTAGCTAGAATACTGAAAAAGTAAGATTTACTTTTCTCTTGAATGTATATCCATTGAACATCGTCGTTCTCTTTCGCATTAATCGTGCAAAAGAAAGTATTATGTATTGTTTTATCGTTTCGAGAAATTCAATTATTTGTATATCACATTACCATAGATATGGTAATGCCAAATAATTCATTTTTGATAATCTATTGCACATTATCATTAATTTGTAAATATCTGCCCTTTATGATAGAGAATTACCGTGTATCATGATAAATATTAATCACAGAAGACAAAGATGAATAATTTCTTTTTTTAAAATGGCACAATCGATTGTGTTTTCGGATAATTGTATACTTATTGATTCAGACAGTAGAGAATAGTTTTTTCTTCTTTCTTTTCTTTTCTTTTCTTTTCATTTCATTTCATTTCTTTTTTTTCCTTCTTTTAGAATAATCGAAAAAGTTATAAACTAAATATCATTTGTTCTATTTCATTAATCTAACTTCACAATTCTTCATGTTTCGTATGATCTTCAGTCGTCGATTCTGAAATAAATAAATAAATTATAATAAGTATTCACCCTATATAGTATTTTTTATTATTATCGTAGGATTCATGAAAAAATTGTGTTCAGGACTTGAATTTGGGTCTTCCACTTGCTGGATGAACGCTTTAACCACTGAACTATCCAGGACCTTCGGTCAACTAACTTCCTCACGAATCCTATACTATACGTACCATTATCTTCTTTTTCCATTTGTCTAGTTTCATTCTCAATTTTTTGCTGTAAGGTTTTTATTTCTTCGTCGTATCCTACCCATTCAGGTAAAATACGCATTGCAGCTTGCAATTTTGCTTCTTTAGTCATTGGATTGTTACACTGAAATATGAAATTTAATTCTTATTATAAATTCTATTAATAAAATAGTCCAATTACACATAGTTCATGATACGAACCAAATCTATAGTTTTGGCATATTTCTTAGATGAATCGTCACACCATGTTTCACACCATAACCAGTCTTGTGGTAATGTTTTTATTGCTACTTGATGGATCATATTATTAGGTAAATCCTAAAGTAATAAATTTATTATTAAAATAATTATTTCTATTAAATTAATTAATATATATATATATGTTTTAAATACCTGATCGAGATTGGATAAACTATTAGGATCCTGACTTAAAGCTTGATATTGTCCTCTTAATCGATCACCTGCGGCAATACGACGGAATCTTTTTAAATCTACTACGTAAAGAGCACTAATATGATAAGAACGGCCTTGTAAATGATTTCTCCAATATCCTTGTTTCCAAAATCTGAAACCATCCATTTCTTTTCTGCTATCACAAAATGGTGTGTAAGCATATGGTGCACCACCAAGATCTAAAGTTGCCAATTCTTTTAAATCAGCTCTTACAACCTAAAAAGAAAAGCAAAATTTGATAGCGAAGTAAATAATTTAGATTGAACAATTAGGAAATAATCAAATTTTCGTTCATACTTGATCAGCATCAACAAATATAATTTTCTTAACGTTCAATGGGAATAATACATCCAAGAACAATATTTTATATCCCCAAATTGTTCGTTGCTTTTCAGTTTGTTGATGTAACCAACGTGGCCATTTATATTGCACTAATTCATATTCGAAACCATACTCTTTCGCCATGTGCGGTAAGAAATCCTATTCATAAAATATTATTTAGATAAATGAATACAATTTTTGATAATAAAAATGTTTTAATATTTTACTTACTTTGACTGTAGGGGAGAGATAATTTTTCAAAAACCAGAACTTCACAGGAGTCTTCGTATGTTTGATAACGCTCAGCATCATAATCTTTAAGAATCTTTCATAGAGATGACCAGAGGCAAGTGAGAATATATTTAATTTGTCATCTTGATCTTCGCTTTCATCTCCTGTAGTGAATGTCCTAATATAAAAAAAAAAAATGAAGCTTTAAAGAAAATATTTTCAATATAATCATTTTATAATTTCAATTTGTTTTAATAAAGAAGAAATAAGATGATAGAATATATTCATTACGTTTTAAATGTGTGTTTGTCTACATAGTAATGAAAAGCTTACCAAAATTTCGAAAAGCTAAAAAAAGGAGAGAATAAATAAAAATTAAAGTTCAAAGATAACTGAATAGCATTGTGTTCCTACTGATATCAATTATAACAGTAGATATGTGAGACTTTTTTTTTTTTTAAAAGAAATTAAAATTAAATATTATTTATATATACCTAGAAATAGAATTCCATATGCCAGAGTTTTTATCATCATCCGAAAGTAAATCCATATTAGCTTTGTCCGGTTTTTTGGAAACTTTGACTTTAAGAACATGACTTTTCAAAGAACTTATTAAAACTTTGACGTTATTGCCATCTTGAATAACATCCTGTCCATCGACGGTAGTAATATCATATATTTCTGCTGAACGTCCATGTCTTAGTCGTAAATGCCACTCTCCAGGATTCGCTTTAAGTTGGAAATATCCTAAATTTGCCATAACTATAGTATCAACCATTACCGGTTGTTTTTCAGTTCCTAATGTAATTTGTAAGCCTCTCGGTGGATTTCCCATTACTGCTTCAAAACAATGGCCTTCGAGTAATAAATGTTCTAATTCGAATTCACTAAACAATAATAATTACAAATTTATACATCCCCGGATATTTATAGAAAAAAACATAAATATATAAATATTATTTAATTATACCTATGAACACCTATTGCAACATTGTCTAATTTAATATTGTCTAAATCGTAAACGCTTCGCACTACTTCCACCAGCCAATTTTCTGGTGCATGAATGTATTGCGTTAATAGCGACGAAGTAGGAAGTTTAGTAAATTTAGCTATAGCGCCATTTAAGTGTCCATCTGCAGTAAATTGCGGTTCAGGATCGAGTACAAAACGATAGAAACTGAAATAAAATTTATAAAACCATCAGTATATAAAATAAATGTTAAATAATATACGATTGTTTTACCTTTTCAATGGCATGTCGCTATTTTTATCTAAACAATTAAGGAATACTTTAATTTGGCAGTTCAATGTTTGTTGTAATGTTTTCAAAATTGGACCTAATTTTTGAGCACCTCGTGACACCGGATCAACAATTGCAATTAAATCAAATGTTACTTCATCAGGATTTACAGGTGGAAGTTTTATAACGCTGAAAAATTAATATAATGTTTGTAATTATATAAAAAAAAACAATTAACAACAACAGAAGAAAACTGTAATATTTATTATTAGTTACCTATGCTCATCTCCATGAAAACGTACTTCGAATCGACTACGTGTTTGTGGTCGTGGAACCAAGAGTGAAGTGATTTTCATTATCATGTCATCCGTAATATCAGTTCTTTCTACATTTAAGAACAATTAAAGTAATTTTCTATTCCAATGACCGTAATAAATATAAAAACAATAATATGCTTTTACCATAATCATCGTCATCCTCAGACGGAGATTTAATTAAATTTTTAAATAATTTATCTCCATATGTACTCTGACTAAATCGTTCCAAAAGTGAAAAATCTTCATTGGTAAATTCTTCATTAGTGTCTAAGGGGCCAATCATTCGTCCATTACATACAACAGTTGCGGCTCCTTTTTCTAGTCCTAAAACTTGTTTAGCATAGTACGTATGGAACTCTAATAACTTGTCTTGATCTTTCAAGTGTTCGTTAACTGACTCATACTGCAATATTATTAAATATTTAAAGATATATTCTATATTCTAAAAAATACAAATTCTGAACCAACCTCTGCAAGGGATTCAAAGTCTTCTTTGACTATTTTGTGCATTACTTGTAAAACTTTATCTGTGGGCAATGAATTTAAAGCAGCAAGTGCAATTCTGTTTAAATCATATTCAAAATCAACATCATTATTATTGATGATTAAGCTTATTCTTGCATCTGGATTTGATTCCTATATAAAATACGATTTAATTAGATACAATACTTATTCAGGAAGAAATTTTTATAAACTTTAAAGTAATTATGTAAAACATTGGCATACTATATAAATAACAGCTTCCTGCAGCAATTTTCTAGACGACTTTAATTTTAAATCAACTACGATCCAGAATGAATATAAATGATGCAAACTACTTCGACGAGATACAAATAAATATTGCATTTTTTCCATGAGCCAGGACGATGCATCTTGGGGAGTCCATTTAGTATAATCGTTATCTTTGGGAACTGTTCCAATTAAATTCAACCAAGAATTTTTATCTATTTTCAAGATACGTTCGTTTAATCTATAAAAATAGTGTATAGTTTTATTTATTTTCTAAGACAATCTTAAGCGTAGTATATTACCGTGGCATAACGTTCGGTTGATTCATTATAAAGTCAATAACATCGTCTCCTTGTGTAACTTCACCACGATAAACTGCTTTCTGTAAGGCAGGTGTTTGCGCTACAATAGTACTTAATACTGCTTCTTCAAATAAATCAGCATTTAATCGAGTAGCCGGTAATGGTACGCCATTAAGTAACGCTTGGGGGAATTTTTTAAAACCAGATCGTTTAACAAAATCGCTAGCTAAATGACGACCGACGTCATATTCTGATTCTTCGCTAAGAATGTAATTTATATTAGCAGAAGAATCTATTTTTCTTATAGCTTGTTTAACAATGTCCACAGTTATGGGATAAGATCCGATATACAATCCTAACTGAAATAAATTCATTCGTGTTACTTGATTATTTTAAATAATAAAATCTAATTACAATTAATCAATGAATTATTTAAAATTATACCAGAAATTCTAATGCTTCCTTAGCACTTTTGCTTTCTATGAAATAATGGAATGCATTGTTCACTGCAACGCTCGCATCCAACAAGCCAGTAACCGAAGTATCATAATTAGTTATGAAAACGAATCCTATTCTTAAAGGAGCAACATATGTATATAAAGATGATGCTAATGAAATTAAGGCCATTGAATCTTCGTTTAAAGGATCGATGATTAATACCTGAAAATATAATACAAAATATATATGTACATTTTTTAAATTACAAATTTCTTAATTTAAAGATTAAAATAATTTACCAAATTATATAAATTTCGTCTTATATTTCTAAGCATTCCTGGAAAAGTTGGTCTTAATAGTTCAGTCAACGCAGGTGACCATCTACTATAACGAACATCAGTTTCAATATCGTTTATCCAAATTATAGCTGAGTCTCTAATATCCATAGCAAACTCTTGATTATCTACATTACTTGACAAATCAAGAGCTAAAAGTTTCCCCATTTTTTTACTATTAAATCCTATAAAACAAAAAAGAAGAAAGAATATATAATTATTAGATAAATTTATAAAATCATATATGTAAAAAATTATTTAAATTTTACCAATTTTATGAAGTGCCTCCATTACACGTAGTTCGCCTCTCAAAGCTTCTAGAAGTGTAAGTACGTCGATAGCTTCCAAGTCAAAGAATAAACCATTGATAAAGAGCGCGGTGTCTGTCGGTTGTATACTTAAACTTCCAGAAAATATTTCTTGATTTAATTTCATCTCCTTTTTCATTTCATTATTTACTTTTGTTCTAATCAATGATTTGGCCTAAAACAACATACATTTTTGTATAGCATACGAAATACGTATCGAAGATAATTATTGTTAATAAAATATTCAATCTTACTTGCATAGGAAAATTCTGAGCGATGTCTGTTAAAACGTTAAGAGCTTCATCCGTAGGAGAGTTCATTATTCTCTCGGCTGCTTGATGACTTAATTCTTGAAACTGCCATACTTTTAATGCCCCAATTTCATGACTCGTTTCAAGCAAATGTGTTTGTAATTCTTCTAATTCAGCTTTTTTATCTGGATATAATGTTCTAAAAGATATAAATTATTAATATTATTTAAAATGTTTTATTATATACCAATCAAATAAATTCTAATAAATACTTTAAAGTCACGAAGTTGATTCCATCTATTTCTTCAATTCCATCATTGTTTGTTTCAGATCCTTTTCCAGTATTATCTTTAATATCTGAATCATCTGTAGCTTTGTATTCAGTCGATTTCATTTGTAATTCTACACCATAACCGGATAACCGTAATTTCCTATCTAGTCTATCCTGTAATTAAAAGATACATACGAGGAATAATACAAAGTTTGTTTTGTTTTTTATTAACTAAAATTACAGTTCGTTTTTACCTTTACGTAGTAACGTAATATATAATTGATTCCGTGTGTATCCGCTATACTTTTTAATTTCGTGTGATAGTTCATGAACATTGGAGAATCAATTTGACCATACATTATTATAACTTTATCAGTTTTTTGAGATCCCAAATAATAATGATCTATACTGTAAGTATCTCTCTTAGTCCATTTATCCTAAAAAATTTAAAATAAAATAAAAGGAACATTAATCTCTTGCACTATAATTTAACACGCAAAGCTGTGTCAATTTGGTGAAAATATTGCTCGCATATCAATCTATGTAGCAATTTCACATGTTGTTCAATGAAACTGTTTTAATTACCTTAGCGATTAATTCATTTACTTCAAAGATGGAACATGTAAATTTCCCACCGATGTCAATTACGTTATAACAATCTAAAGTAGAAACATTCTTGTTTTCTGCCATTTGAAAAAACATTTCAACTCGGGTAGAATAAATACGCAATGATAATCCTAATTTAAGAACCGCAATCTCCGCTGGAGATAAATGCTTCCCAGCTAACTTCAAAATTAATTCATAATTATCCTTTTCTGTACCTGCAAAACATACGTCAGATTAAAATAATATAATTAATTATAAAGCATGTTGATTATTTTGTCAATTACCATTTTGTATGGACGCAACATTTTCAGAATATGCTTCGATGAATTTCCAAAAGTAATTTGGATTTTCATCATTGAGATATTCAGCTGCTTCTAAAAATAATGGAGTTTCCATCCATTTTGCATCAATCAATGTTGTCACATATTTGTTTACTTTTTTATCTGCTTTTAATCCTTTTGAGCACAAAAGTAATGAATAAAAAAATACTAGTATCCACATCTAAAACAGACATATAACATAATAACAATAATAATATCAATCATATATAAATCTCAATTATTATAAAAATATATTGCAAATAATTAGAAAATTATTTATACGTTTATAAACACATCAAACAATGTAGAGGTTAAGTCCTTTGTTTGTGAAGAAAACTTACATTAATAAATAAATAATAAATAACTTAAAGTAACCTATATAAATTATATTTATGAAAATCTTATATTTTCAATAGAAAACAAATATTTAAATACAAAATTATATAAATAAATGAAAATTTGTTGTTTCAAAACTGACACCATCAAAGTATACACCATAAATATGCATATCAGAAAAATAACTATTTAAGAAATATTATAATACAAACAATTGTGGAATATGTTGCATACCCTTAAATGTTGATTAAAAACTGTATTAATTATCGAGAAGACATTTATAATAATGACCAATCCACGTATCGCACGTGTCACTTCAGAATACACAGAAATTCTACGTAAAATGGACGGATGTGTATGTGTTGAACACACATATATACACTCACATGACGTATGCGTTAGTATTGAATAATATTTAATTTAATAATGATCAATGATTATATATATGACACAAATATTTTACTGTGTCGATCGTAATAAATGATTTAATAATCAGTTAAATGAAAATAATTCTACGAAATAATTCATCAATGATTTATAGTATCTACAAAATAATTCGTCAATGATAGGAATGCTTTGATGAATTACATCGTAGATACACGGAATCATTGATGCATTTCGTTTTACGTAAATACTATTGAATCATTGAAATAGTACATCGTAGAATTATTTTCATTACAATTCAACGTTTTATCTCGACTGATTAATATTATAATTTATATTTTATATAAACAGTATTTTTCAATTGTTATACAACACATTATATTTAAATACATTGTTGAAATATTATACAGCAATTAGAAAAGTTTGTCATTGTTATATTAAAATATATTATTTTTGAAAGAAAAATCTGTGAATACTGTAAATAACCTATAATAGAATAATTTCTCAGTTATAAAACAAGTAATATATGTATAATTAGTGTCTTCAATTAAGATTGGACAATACAGTATATCAAAATGACAATAGTCGATTACATTCATACTCTATCAGAGAATCCTTACTTTGGTGCCGGTTTCGGTCTTTTTGGCGTAGGAGCTGGAGCTGCTATATTAAGAAAAGGAATGCAGGCTGGCATGATATTCTTTAGGTAATATTGTAATAAAAATTAAATTTTATATTGTTGACTTTTTTTTATATGATACTTTAGTAATCTTATATGATAAAGGCGACATTATATGATTACTTTGGAAGTTCCATGTCGAGACAAAAGTTATCAATGGCTCTTGCAATGGATCACACATAGAGGTGCTACTAGAACGCAACATTTGTCTGTTGAAACGAGCTTTGAACAAAAAGAAACTGGTCAAATTAAAACTAAATATGAATTCATACCTAGCATCGGAACTCACTTTTTTAAGTAAGTAATTTCTTCCTCGAAAATTCATCAGTTTCAATAATATGATTGATCATGGAATTTATTAATATAAATGATTAACTCACAGCTATCGAGGTAATTGGATTAGAGTTGAAAGAACAAGAGAACAACAAACATTAGATTTGCACATGGGTATTCCATGGGAAACAGTACAGCTTACAGCATTCGGAAGAGACAGAAGTTTATATTTTAATATTCTTGAAGAAGGTTGAATTCCTATATTACAATTATTAAACCATTAAAGTAATAAGAATTTAGTAATAAATTTTTTTTTCATAGCTAGACAAATGGCTTTAAAGGAGCATGAAGGAAAAACTATAATGTATGTTGCGATGGGCAGTGAGTGGAGACAATTTGGACATCCTAAAAAGAAAAGGCCGTTAACATCAGTAGTCTTAGATGCTGGAATATCTGAAAGGATATTAAATGATTGTAAAGATTTTATTAGTACCCCTTCATGGTATAGTGATAGAGGTAAAAAGAGAATTAAGCATTTTATTCTGAAGAAAAAATGTTGATCTTTTACTCGTTTTTATATTTAGGGATTCCATATAGGAGAGGATATTTATTGCACGGTCCACCAGGGTGTGGAAAATCATCTTTCATAACTGCATTAGCTGGAGAGTTAGAACGTGGTATATGTGTCTTAAATTTGTCCGAACGTGGCTTAACAGATGATAGATTAAATCATTTATTAGCAGTTGCTCCGCAACAAACAATTATTCTTCTTGAAGATATTGATGCTGCATTTACTAGTAGAGAAGAATCTAAGGAAGGTAAAATTGGTAGTATTATTCTAATATTAATTTAATTATGACTTTGAATATATATATATATAACATGTTACATTATACTTTTGATTGTAATTACAGTTAAAGCAGCGTACGATGGTTTAAACAGAGTTACGTTTAGTGGTCTATTGAATTGTTTGGATGGCGTTGCATCTACTGAAGCAAGAATTTTATTTATGACAACCAATTATCTGGAACGTTTAGATCCTGCTCTTGTGAGACCTGGTAGAGTTGACGTCAAAGAATATATTGGTACATATTCAAAGATTAATGTATATACCTAAATATTCAAGTATTAAAACTCAGAATAGAAAAATAATTAATGTAAAATATTTTACTAGGTTGGTGCAGTGGTTCTCAAGTCGAACAAATGTTTTTGAGATTTTATAAATCGCCTGAAAACGTAACGAATGATATGGCGAAACAATTTGCTAACGAAGTGATGGCTCAAAAGAGAAACGTTAGTCCTGCGCAAATTCAAGGGTACTTTATGTTCCATAAAAATGATCCAGAAAAAGTCATAAGCAATGTTACACAAATATGGGAACTTACATAATAATGAAAATTGAAAATACTGTCTACCTGGAAATCTCTGTAGGAACATTTTATATTATATTTAAACTATATTTTAACTTTTGGAATATGAGATGTACTTTATATTTATGTAGGTAATCTGTGAAAAAATATAAACTGTTGTAATCGGATGAGATATACGTAAATATATGTATAGAGACTTTTTTTATTAATTTTATAGCAATGATAAATAATGCAATTTTCATTTTCTTTTATGCATTATCAAAACCACCATGCGTATAACAAAATACAATATGATATATTTATTTGTCAGATTGTATGCGATAATTGAGAATGTTTCTTTTTTTTTTTTTAAATCTCATTTATGCATTCCTGCATACTTAAACAGTATACCGTAACACAGTGTTTTTCTAAAAATCCTAATCGAATGTGAGAAACACTGGATTTGATATAATGTAAGATGGACATGCAAATATTTTAGTTCTCTTTTACACAATTATTTATATATATATTTATATTATTATATAAATATATATATATTAACTTGTATATGCATTATCAGTATTACATATGGACGTTCTTTAAGAATACTGTTTTTTTTAATATATGATCATGTATATCTATTAAAAGAAATAAAAATCATATTAGAATGTTTACATATCACCGATATAAAATAATTTAATTTTGAATTTGAATAAAATTGAATGCGCCTGCACAATACATACGCAGTATTCAAATTGTAATACTTTTTCATCCTATTATTTGTTAACTCTTACAAATTTATACACATTTAATTAACTGGAATATACCAGATTGTACTCTAGTCTTGATACAAATTTCTACCCATCTTGTAACATTTGTAAAATACTATATTGCTTTATTATTTAAAGTTAAAATGTAAAAAAACTAATGTTATATATAATTATTTATAATTTTATGTATATATACCACATTTACTTATGATCAATATTCTTAGAGGAACAACTAGTTTTACAATTACTTTTAATTATTATTTATATTAAAAATTATGCAATACAAGTTTCCAAAATAAATATTCCTCTTACATAATTTTTAAATAGATATTTTATGTGTATATATATACATAATTAAAAAAAATGATTTATACATTATTTAGTTTAACTTCATTACGACAATTCGCTATTTTAGGAGAAGTATTTTAAAGATTTGTTTTTTAATAGATTTGGTATATTATATTATATCTACTCACGCGTGCCAGATTTTTCTCTTTCTTGTTTAAAATGGCACATTTAGATTTACATTATTACAAAATATTTACAATAACATCTCATTTTGATGATGTATTTCGTTTCTTTTTTATCACTGAAAATGTATGGAATACTTAACGATTCAAATAGTTTGTAAATTCTCAAAAAGTCCAAAGTTACATAAATTTCTAATTTAAATACTTTGTGTTTCTTCGTTTTTTGTTTTTCTATTAATTGAAAAGGCAGTAACCACAGCAAATAATGATATAACGTATAAATATAAAATTAGTGAGATCTAATCGGAAGATAGAGAGAAAGAGAGAGAGAGAGAGAGAAAGAGAGAGAGACAGAGACAGAGACAGACAGACAGACAGACAGAAAGAGATTCGCTATAAGTAAAGACATATACATATTAACAAACTTATAATAAAAGATATTATGTCTTTTAAAAGCTCCAAATGTACGGTTCGTAATTTAAAGGATCAGGTTGTTCCATATGACCTGTGTGATTATTATTTGCCACCAAACATGATGCATAAACTGCATTGGAATTACCTTGAGTAGATACAGGTGGAACAATAGGAGCTAATCTACAATCTGATCTTTGTTGCATTATAGGACCCATTGGTTGCATTGATTGTGGTCCTGGTGGTGGACCTGGAGGTGGTGGTGGCGGTGGTTGCGATTGAGGAATTGATGGTGGAGGAGCTGAGATGTTATGAACGGGCTGCAATATGTTACTACTAGCAACATAATTTGGCACTAAAAACATAATATTATTGAATAATTATACATTCTAACGTAAAATTAAATCTATTAAACGTTATTTAATTTAACTTACTTGTCGGATTATGGAAAGGCATAGGAGCTGGCTCAGGAACCATATTTGCTGGTGGTGGTACAACTTTCAAAGGAACAGGATCAGATTTCTTTTTCCTAGATATACGTTTTTGTATATTACTCGTTGAATGATCTCTTTTTTTATTATCGCTCGATTTCTTTTTCTTATCTCCAGGAGTTTTTGATTTATTAAGACGATTACCGCTAGCTTGCCAAAGATGAACTGTATGAACTGCATTTCCTTCTCTAAAGTATTAGCAAATATTTTTTATTAGTAGTGTATATATTTATATGTAAATTTAAATGAAATATAAATGTATATAAATAGTGAAAACTTTTGATATTATTATTAACGCTGTATATAATTACCCTTGTTTTTTCCCAAGCTTCCAACTGTGTATTCCTGCCTTATGAAGACGTTCTCTAATTGTATCTACACTACATTTCAATCCTAAAGCAGGAGCCACGTATTTTGCTGCAGTTAACGGATTTTGAGTAGCCATAGCGACTATAGCTTCGTCTTGTTCCTTGGTTGTAATTCTACGACGGCCCTTTCTTTCTTTTGTTTGTACATTTCCTTCTTTATGCCAACGTTCTAACCATCTTTTAACAGTACGCTCCTATTAAATATATATATAATTAAAAAATCTTTAAAATATATACAAAGATTTTGTGAAATAAACATAGAATATATTTATAATTAAATTTACCGATCTGTCAATCGCTAATGCAATGGATAATGTAGATAATCCTGCTTCCGACATTCCGATCATACGGTTTCTAATTTCTACACTAGTTTCTAGCGTCCCTTTTGCTTTACCACCTTTCTTTTTTCTCTTTTGTCTTTCTGAATGTTTACTTTCTCCTTTTGACATATCATCAACTTGCACACTATCTGTATTCGACAGCTGATTACTATCAAGAGAACTACAAGAATTTGAACAATCCGAACTGATATTTGTGTTATTCACAGGATTAGATAATTTAGATTGTAGGTTTTGTTCTTGCTGTTGTTGGGCCTGATGATCCACTTGAATTTGTGCTTGCTGAGAATCAAATTTCGAATGATGAATACTGGTATCTTCCTGCAATCTTTGTTGAGCCTGCTGTTGCATTTGTTGTTGTTGTATTTGTTGCATGTGATGTTGCTCTCCTTGACTATGAAGCTCTTGAAGTTGGTGTTGAGGTGCCATCAGTTTATGATTTACAGTAGTTGGTTGACCCTTATAAAAGTAATAAAAGAAAATATTTTATCATCAATCAAATACATTGTACAATATTATAAAAATTAGAATAACAATATAAAAAATGAAGTCATACTTGTGGATAATGATGACTGCCTTGTACAAGATCGAGGGGCCAATTATTTTGTGCGATATTCATACTAGGATGTTGATACATAGGTTGTGGTTGTTGACTCATAGTCAATCCATTGTTAAATTCCGTTTGATTGTCAGGTAATGCTTGAGCAGTATTTTGTATTTCATTGGTCTGTTCTTGAGGAATATTTTGTTGCACGAATCCAAATCCTTGTTGCTGCTGTTGCTGTTGTTCAGTAGGTTGTTTTAAATTTTCTACAGGTGCACCATCGCCGACATAAATATCTCTGGCTCTAACTTTACGTGGAGGATTTTTCTTTTTTTGTATACTTTTGTCGTTCTTGGTGGAATCTTTATTAGATTTCTTTTTCCCCAATTGAGTACCCGTAGGTCTCCATACAGCTTGTTGAATAGCTGCACCATCTGCATCATTGCTAAAATATTGCATACCAAAATGAGATGAAATAAAATAACAAAAATAATTCTTTTAATAGATCAACAAATATTACAATATAGAAACTAACCCGAGTGGAATCCTTTGCATATATTTCCTAGACGGCGTCCAACTATGAATTCCAGCTTTATGCAATCTCTCTCGTACTGTATCAACGGAACAGGTGAGTCCTAAAGCTGGAAGTACAGCTTTAGCAGCAGTCAAAGGTGTTTGAGTAGCGAGCTTGATTATCGCTTCATCTTGTTCTGCTGTTGTAGCTCTCTTACGACCACAACGTTCTCTGGTTTCTACGTTGCCTTCTTTATCAAATCGATTGAGCCATCTTTTGACTGTACGTTGCTAGATGAATAGAATAAAATCAAATCATTAAATAAAATACACATGATATTTAATAAAAATATAAGAGAAATTAAGAAAAACGATAATAGATTATAAACAAATAAAAGAAAATTTACCGAACAATTAACAGCAGCGGCAATTTCTCTTAATCCCAAACCAGCCTCGTACATTCCAACCATTCGGTTTCTTAATTCTGGGGTGGTTTCATGCACCCCCCTTGTTTTACCCATTGTTGTTATATATTAACTTTCTTTTTAAATAATTTCAAGCAAATAAAGAGAAAGGGTTAGTGAAGGGAGATAATGTTAGTGGGAAAAAAAATTTCAAATTTCACGCGACAAGTGACGTATTATAAAAGTAGGAGGGGACCACGTGACAAATGGCTGTACATATCACTAGAACAACAAGTTTATCTGAATTTGTCCTTATCGTTCGATAATAAGGATGACATAGATAACGCAAATCGCGTACCATATATCTTATAATTAAATTCGGATACTTATGAGATAATCTAAACGTCATTGTCACTTGGATGCAATGAAATGAATTATGAAATATTTCTTCTTTTTCGTTCTCGTCATCGTGATGCTCTCTGCGCTTCGATGATTTGGGACAAAACTTTGACAAGCAGATGTCAAAATGATAAATATACAAATCGAAATAAAAAAAGAAAAATACTTTTTGTTTTTCTTTTTAATTCACGTCAATCTTGTCGGACATTTTAACGCGCACTAAAATCATCTCACAACGTAGAGAATCTTTCCGATCGGGTTTTTTTTACATTTAACCGGTTAAAGTATATACCACTGCGTTTTAGTATTTTCTTTCTTTCTTTTTTCTCTCTTTGTTTTCTTCTTCTATTCTGTTCTGTCACGTTTGTGTATGCCAGTATTTTTTCCTTTCCTTTTTTTCTTTCGATGAAACGTATCCGTACGGAGAAAACACCGCGGTCAATACAACTTCAGCTGTACAGTCCCCGTGGAGATTATTTTGTCACGCTACGAACTAACCTCCAAATGTACGAATTTAACGTTATTAAAGATTGAGAAGATTACATGATTGTTATACGTGAAATTAAATCTTATGTTTTATTATCACGTGATAGTTTATTTTTTGTTATTTAATTATTCACTCTTTATATTAATTTAAACAAACAAAGATGTATTTGACAAGACGTCAATTAAAGTTCGTTCTAGTGACTGTACGACGAAATCGACTGTACAGTCACCGATGAAAATATATTGTCCAATAAATTAAACTAGATTGTTGAATTTTCCGGCTTTTTTATTCGTTTTTATTTTCATTATAATGTATTAAATATTTTTTTAATCTTTATAAGAATATTTTATTTATTTTGTAGTATACTTTTTTAAATATTTGCATTATCGATGATTTATCAAAAAAAAAGTAATTGTAGAAAGAACGACAATAGTAATTCGTTCGTAGACTGTACCTGCGGTTGACGGGAAAAGTACAGTCCACAATACGTTGAAGTAAATTATGCGAGTAGCTCATGAGGAGGTATGATAGCGATCTGAATAAGAATGTTAAGTTGAAGATAATAGATTTCTATATGTGTGATAATAAATCATTTTCTTTTTCTTTTTTTTTCATCGATCGTTCGCAATCAAAGTAATACGATTAGATGATCATTGGTCAATAATTTTACCGGCGACTGTACACACCAAAAGAATTATTCAAGGTTGGCTCAGTTTTATACATATATGCATACATATATGCACATTTACCTTCGTTGGAATTCTATTGACTCGTATTTCCTATATATTTAACATATTGTTCTGTTTTTCTTTTTATTATAATAATATTACATTTAAATGGATATAAAAAATTAATTACATCGAAAAGAAAAGAAAGCGTAAAAGATTTTAAATAAAGTAGATAACGTTCCAATATATTATCTGAAAATAGTTCGATAATAATCGTAGATTTAATTCTCGATAGAATATTAATGAAGAGAAATTTAATATATATTTTTAAATTTAGAAAGTTAATTATTAATCGGAGATTCTCGGTCTTAGTTTAATTTAATTTTATATTCGAATAAATAACAAAATTGAAGAAAAACAACAAAAGAAAAACAGGGCAAAGTATTTACTTATTTGACTGTCGGAGCGCAGTCGAACAAGATACATTACGGTTAGGGATCGTAAACTGGTAACATCCGCCGATCAAATGTAACTATGCATCAGAGACTCTGGCCTAGAATCGAAAGAGACCGTGTTACGAATCTGTCCTACAAAAATAATTTCTCATATTGTTAGATATACGTTGTTCTAACCCATACGTACGCAAAGATACGCGTAATATGTGTTGTAACACTGTTCTCCTCGGTAACTGGCGGTTAAGTAGTCAGCAGTCATTTAGTTCAGACTTAAGTAGTAATGACTTATTTTATGCAGACACAACCAACTCTGTTACAGGGATTATACTTTTTAAATATTGAGTAATCAAGAAAATTCAAACCGTTTTAATTAATAAAAATAAATAATGCACACACCTAGAAACGATATGAACTTTCTTGGCAACCCAATAGATCTGTAAAAGGATCAATAAATCGGGAAATATTATTCCTTTGATCAAATTTTTTCTAACAAAATTATTGGAGCGTTTATTAGAGTTACTATAGAAGAGGGTTGTTACTATAAAAGTGTGGGTTGTTTTTTTTTTTCATTTGTATTTTTTTTTATCAAAGTGTTCCAAATACCCGCGAACGCAGCATCCTCCATCTGGCGTTTTCTCTATGCGTCTCTGGAGGTACCTCCCTTCAGCCCCCGAACTGGGATACCACCTCATCCAATCTCTCTTATCACGCCTATCATCAGTTCCACCCTCGCGCTTGACGGTCGTGTCAGCTAGCAAAGCGCAGTCACTGCAACGCACGGGACCCTACGTTCGTTGTATTCTAGGCGGGTAACAAAAAAAACCAACAAACAAATAAAAATCCAAAGAAATCTAATTGCAAGTGAGATTTAAACATTCCTTCTTTTGGATTTTAGTTTTAATCGAAATTGAATTTTTGTATTATTGGGAAAACGATTTGTCCTGTTCGTAGCACCCCCTTTTACGATCGACCGACGCCAAGAAAAATCGATCCTTTGAAGAAAGGTTGAAGGAGAGACGCGCGATTATCAAAGCCGAGGATGAAACTCATCGTTGTTTTGATTCTTTGTCTCATTGAGACATCCCTCGTTCATTGCGGGGTACGCGCGTCCGGATTATTTTATATAAATAATTTGCCTTTATTTTTCTTAAAATTTGCATGTTTCGTACGATATGCAAATTAGTGGACTATTAATTATTGTCCTATTTGTTCCTTAATTTATATCTTTTTTTTTTTTATAGACATATATGACAATGTTATTTTTTATTTAATTATTATTTCCTTTTTTGTATTGTTGAAAATTAGAAAATGATTAATAATTATGCAACTTATTTTTATTCAAGTTTCATCCTCTTTTTTTTGTATAGGAACACTATTATTACTATAATTATTAATTTTTTTTATTTTTAAATTGTTATGTAGATATCTTCTTCTTCTTAAAGATAATTTTAAAATTAAATTTGGCGTTAACTTGTTCCCTAGAAACGACCAAGCTTCGTTTCCGACGAAATGATCGCAACAGCGGTTAGCGTAGTGAATGCTTGTCAAACACAAACAGGAGTAGCTACAGGTATGATTCAAATTTTATTGGAATGATTTATCTTTTTATTTTTTTTTTTGTATTAATTATAAAAATAAAGTATCGATTTATTATTTTGATTCGATCACGTTTGATTTGAATTTTTAAGAGGACATTGAAGCAGTGAGAAACGATGAGTGGCCGGAGACGCCTGAATTAAAGGTGAATGTCCAGAGAAAGTAATGCACTTAAGAATCATGATGATGATGATGATGATGAGAGAGAGAAAGAGAGACTAATTGAATTGTTCAAAGTTACACCGAGATAATTCTGTTATATGTCGATTGCAGTGTTACATGTATTGCCTCTGGGAACAATTTGGTCTAATCGACGATAAAGGGGAATTAAATTTGAATGGTATGCTAACTTTTTTCCAAAGAATGCCGGCCTACAGGGCGGAAGTTTTGAAAGGAATTAGCGATTGCAAGCTGATCGGTAAATACTTGGGTAAATATACATTGATTTTGTTTCTTTTTGTTATTTCTATTTTATTCATTTCGTAAGATTTTAACAGTTTCGTTAGAGTTAAGAATGCGTTCAAACATTTCTCAATCGATATTTTATTTTTGATTGTTGATCTTTAGTTTCTTGCTTTTTTTTTGTAAATCTTTTAATCGGTTTTATAATTCATTCATAATTCATTTTTGATATGTTTTTTAGCCAAGGGTGATAAGTGTCAATACGCGTACGAATTTAATATGTGTTATGCAAAAATATCTCCGAGAGTAAGTATTTTAATTGAAATTATATTTCTATATTTAAAAAAAATATATATATATACTGGGATAATTTGTGAAATTTTGTAAATATATAGCCCTAAGTATATTTAAAACATTGAAATATTTTCTTTCATTAATTTACTTCAAATTCGCGTGTGTTTTTAGACCTATTATCTATTCTAATGAAATTTCATCGATCCTAAAGGAGCACTATGATCAAAGATGAATTATGAAAATATTAAAAAGAAACGATATCGCCGAATGTGTTGAGATTTATATAATCAAGTGATTTTACATTCTCATATAACTGTTCCGTATACACCTGTAAGTTCTAATACTTTATAAAATATCTTAACAAAAAAAGAAAATAAATCTTCTTTAATAATTGCATCTCACCGAAAGCTTTCATTACCACTATTTTACGTATTTATTTATATAACTCATACATACGTAAATAAAGAAGAAGATGAAGAAAAAGAAGAAGAAGAAGAAGGAGAAGAAATAGGCTTGATAAAGAAGAAAGAACGAGTTATTCCACCGTGCAATCTCAAAGATCGAGCCGGATCATGATCATTAATAATAATCGATTTGATAAAGGCATCGTCACCTATACCGGCCTTTTTAAATCGGTGTGTTGTAGTCATCAATTGTCAACTGGGGCTACTCGCATACAAAGTAGAACACGAGCGGCACGTGTTGATAAATTGAAAACTCGACTTATCACGATCAACGTGATAAACGTGGGCTAATAGCAGCAATTCGTTCGCACACATGCATGTGCATATACGTATATCTATGCATAGATATAGGGTAACGGTACCTAATATGGAACACATACCAATATAAAATATTTTTAAAAAACTAGAACATATTTGTTTATTTGCATTTTGTATTTCAATAAATATTCTACTTTTTTATAATAAAAATAAATTTTTTTCTACACAAATTTATTCGGCGTTCCATATTGGGTATGTCTTCAACAACTCGTCATTTTTAACTTTGTTTTATATTTTTTGTTTGATCTATTAATTTTGTTCAGTCAAACGTAAATAAGCAAATAAATAAATGCATGTATTTGGATTTCCGAAAAATTCGTGCCATATAAATTTATAAATCTACACGAACTTTCTGGTCAATTCATTACATGCTATTATGAAATCCTAGCAAGTAGTAGGGCAAGATTATATGGTCAGACATATTATCGACCGTAACTATTATATCGTAACCAAAGATGCAATTAAGAACGATCATAGAGATCAGGAGGAATCTCAAATTTGGAAGATAAACGTTTATCACGGTTAATTTTCCGGTAGGAAAATATGAAATACTTATGTGAACGAGTCTTATACCTGATAATTATATATCTATAAGTGACTCTTAATAGCACATAAATACTCTATACTTTTAACAGAAGAGATCAAACAAATTAAAAAAAAAATAAAAGAAAAATAAATTCTCACCTCTGTAAATTCAACTTGCATTATGTAAAACTCCCACTTTTGTTATTAGAAGTATATATAAATCGCCATCATCCATATTAGTTTTCGATTTTGTTTCTGCAGTAGACCCGAATCAAGTCCTTTTGTCTTCTTTTAATTTTCAAAATGAAACTATTATTTTTGATTTTGTTAGCTACTATCTTCATTTCTTCAATAGTTAAGGTGAGCGTAATTTTATCTTCTTCTTTTTCTTGATTATAACTAAAACGAGTGAAAATTTATATTATTTTGGATATTTATTTTTTATTTTATACGTCAGGCTGAAGTGGATTTGAGGAAAATCACTGCACCTCAACGTAAAAAATGTCTCGCTGAAATAGGACTCACAGCTGGTATGTATGTTAACATTATTTTCAATATACAATCAATTTCTTCTTTGACATCAGATGATGTAAACTATATATTAAAATTATTATAATATATTTATAAAAAATATATATATATTAGATAATTAAGTATAGGACATCCGATTATTCCGATTAGTTTCAGTTCGAAATCGGATATTTGATACTTAATGATCTAATAATATTCTTTATATTATTTTAATCGTAGATATCATTGACGAGGCAGAAATTGGAAACTTTTCTCACGACGATAAACTTGGTTGCTATTTTAAATGCGTATTAGAGAAATTTAATATGGTAAGAGGAATTATTTTAAATGTTGCTATTTATTGGGTCAATATATATATATATATATTTTTATATAACTTTATAATATATCTAAAGTATTGATAAATTATTTAATTATTATTTATATAAATATTCACAGATATTGACCATTTATTTAACAAAATATTGACCAAATAAATAAAAGTGCAATTTAAAATCATTTAACAATTAAATAATATTCTAATAACATGAACGATGAAACTTACTTTTCTTTTTGTTATCAGTTCACCAAAGATGGTAAAATAAACTTCAAAATGTTGTTAATGTCCATACCGGAAGTATGGAAACCTTTGGCTCAAGACATGGTTGATTCGTGTCGTGATATCAGTAAGTACATCTTAAAAGTAATCGATTAATTCAAATGAAAATGTTTTTCAATATCTGTATACATGAACGATAACATGTTATTTTCAGCTGGCGCTGACAGATGCGAGTTGTCCTACAATTTTAATAAATGTTTATACTTCGCAAATCCTGTGGTATGTTTTAAAGAAAATAATTTTATAATTTTTAATTTAGGTATCTTATCAATGATGTATCTTCTTTTTCTTTTTGTATAGGCATATTTCATTCCTTAAATATCTACGAGTGAGACAAAAAAAGATTGCAAATTTTCGTAAATGCGAATTAAAGACTTGCATCGTATCACGTATGGATCATGTATACAATTATATATATATATGTATGTAAAACATTTTTAAAAATCATAGTATTACTAAATATAGTTTAAAAATAGTTTCATTTTTGGATTTAATTTTACCCGATAAAACAACGTTATATGTTTGTATTTGATTTAATGTCAGTACTTTTCATACGATCACAAGATTCAAACAAGAACAATTTTTTAATACAATATTATTATCATTTAATACAACCTTTTTGTTTTTATGTATACATGTTTATGTATACATCGATTGATGTCGATCATTTAATATTATGAAAATTCTATAAAATTTTCTTGCAATCACTAATACTTATATATCAAAATTTTTGTAATGATATTGTTTAGAATAATCCATGTAGTAATCTAATAAAAAATAAGAGCGAACATAAATGAAAATGAGATCCACAGGTTGGAACGTTATTCCTGTGTAAAATGTTGAAACAAAAGTTCTTTATAATGTTATGCTTTTCTTGGTTTCGTTTTTCTTTTGTTAATGTTCATTATTTGTTCAACAATAATATCATCAGCTCTTGGATCTATGGGAATCGCTTGTACCGATGTTCTAGAAATCGGTGAAGGTTTAGACCACCTTTCTACCAAGGTATTTAGCCAGCTCCACAATTTTTCACGATTGAAAAATGCAACCGTAATTAACAATATAAATGGTAAAGCTACTATCGAAGTTTGATTCATATCTCCTTGATCCACTTTGCGTTCCGCACTGAACGTTAATTTAACATATCTGAACGAGGAATTAGCTTCGAAATAAACAGGATTAGTTTTATACTTATGTAAGCTAGGCAATAAGGATGATTCCAGTTGTATGAAGTATTTCTTGTTATCTGCTTGTAAAGGTGGAAAGTGTACGAGGAATCCTGCGTTATACGAACTGCTAATTTTATTGAAATGCTGCGTATCCAATTTGGATATGTGTATTGGTGAGTCTGGCATGTCTTCCCTACATAATTTCACTTTTAAGGTACGATAATGTTCTGGTTGAATTGATATAACATGAGCGGAAATATCTGTACGTGAAATTGGATGGAAAGCAATTAATCTAAGTCCGTGAATATCTTCTTCTGTTTGTATCATCAATGAACTAGGACTTGTACGTTGAATATGAGTATTTGCTTCTACGTTAGATTTCAAACGTAATATATATGTACACTATATTAAACAAATAATAAATTAATATTAATATATATATTTTTAGATTTTTGATTCTTTTTCGAAATAATTTAATATACTTACTAATGGTTGAAGACCTCTAATTCTAAAAGTACCGTTCTCTTCGGTAGTTGCTTCTTCTTGAAGATTGGAACAATCTCCTTGACCTTGGGCTTCAACCAATAATCCTGCTTCGGGTTCGCCGTTTAATGACGTTACTGATCCGTAAGCACTGAATGCAACTCTGTTGCCAAATAAGTTTACAACGACAGTAGCACCTTCGGTTACATTAATCATTTTCGATGGTGGCTCGAATCTATATTCCTTCATCATTGGTCTTAGATAATATTCTCCGGGTGATAATGAATTGAAAATTAATTTTCCTTCGTTACTCGTTATACTATTTTTACGATAATTTTGCCCACCGGAGAGAGAAAGTAAAACGCCCTGTTTATACAATACAAATATTTCATTTGTCATTAATATATGAAAAATAATATATTGGCAATATAAATAAATATTTATTTTACCTGTAAAGACGAATTATCTGCTTGATCGTATACTTGCACTATTATTTCAGCTAATTTTCGTGCTAAAAATACTCCTTTACTGCTTGATTCCGTTATTACAAAACCTTCCTTCTCAGCTGTAACACTAATTACGAAATGAATGTAGCAGAATTTAAAAAAGTGTTATAAAATAATGTTTTATACAAATATATGTTTACCTATATTCTATTTTTCCATCCAACGGGCCAACGCTGTAGGTTCCTTCTTCTTTTGTAATAATTGTATGCATAGGAGATTCTTTATCCTTGCTAAATATTTGTATCATCACACCTTCTAAAGGAGGTGAAATTTTTCCAGCTATGATCTAATCAATGATATTTTTCTTTATTATTCGTTGTTTCAATAAATTATATTAAATATGAATAATTATTATACCACTCCTAAATCCCCGGTGAAAGTTGCAATATCGTTGTGACATTCATTTACGCCAAGAACTTTAATGGACGGCGGATTAAATAAAAGAATATCTGATAGAGGAGTAATGATGTAAACGTTACCAGTCTTTGTTGTAAATTCAAACTCGTATTTAAAATTATTTCCTTTCGTTGTATATTTAAGTGGGCCGATTCTATAAAAATGCAATGTATTAAATTAAACGTATAGATTATCAAATTATTAAGAAAATAATTTTTTATGCATTTACATAATATTGCCGCTTGAACTTTCAATTTTGACTTTGACTCCATCCAATGCACTTGAACTTATGATATTTCCTTGATGACGATGTTCGGTAGACGTTAAAATAATTGGAGATGAACTATTCGTATCCCAAAAAAATGTTTCCTTATCGTATACATGACAACCTTTAGGTGTAAAACTATATTCTCCGGATTTTGAGACGCAATGTCTTGTACTACCTTTGGATAACACTAAAGATGATTTTGTACTTTCATGCGGTGCAACATATTCGATTGTTGTTTCATGAGAAGAAATAAAAGTAACTGAGAAACCAGTCTGTTCGAAAGGAGGTACTTCAAAACGTTCAGACGTTATAGAAATTCTATAATTATTATGTCTCCAACAAAATACATCATTGTCTACTAAAACTTCATAATATCCTGGTAGTACATCAGTGAATTTGTATTGGCCACCTGCATTAAAGAAAGTAACTTCAAAGACAGAGACAGTAATATCAATTAGATTTAAATATTATATTAATAACAAATGTATTTAATAGCTGGTAGTATAAAAAATGGTATAAAGAATATATTTTATTATTTTTATAAATCACGTTGTTGAAAAAGTAATTAAACGATGCTACCTTGGCATTAATATACATTTGTTATTTTTGAACATTTTATTAAGAATATTTATTTATATCTTATTATTTAATCTCACCTTTAGTTTGGTAAATTTTTATTGTAACTCCGTCAAGTACTTTAAGCGTTACCGAAGCTTGACTGCAATCTATTTCTGGCAAACATTGAACTGTGCCGATTAGAGTCGCTTTCAGTTGTAGAAAATTTACTTCGTTAATTGATTCGGATGATACAGCAATAAATTGTTCCAAAGGAAAGAATCTATTATAATATAAAGAAAAATGTTCATTTTTTATATAATTCAATTTAAATTCGTATATTATATTAAAAATACTTACTGTAGACCTTTAGTTTTTTCTTCATTGCTGACAATTACGCTTAATTTATAATTATCAGGTTTTAAATATAAACAGTAATCTCCCGTTTTTTCATTCGCATCTACTTCTTTTTGGAATGTACCAGCAACATTTTGTATAGCAACTTTACGGAAATGTAGAGTTCCTTTTGCAGATAATGTTACTTTTCCGCAAACTTTATACGTCAATGGTATTAAAACTGGCAATTCAGGTGAGCTTGGGGAAACTTTGACTGTTCTCTCCTCGAATTGTACATTACCTAAACATAAGCATATCGTTAGTATTACTTTTATAGAAAATACTTTATACAAATGATTTTTTACTAACTAGCTTCTGCTTTTAAAGTATATTGTCCAGCTTTGACATTATCCACTGTATATTTTCCATCTTTATTAGTCACAGCTACTTCTTTCCCAGCGAATATAATTTTTGCTTTCGCTAATGGTCTGCCATCTGCCGACATGCGAACTATGCCAGTTACCGTAAAACCAGTAACTTTAAAATCTTGCGCCAATATCAAACTGTTATGATTAACTTTGAACAATAATTCTGGTGGTTGAACATCGAATTTAGTGTGAGCACTAGGATAATGAGGAACAAGTTTGTAACCACCGGGTGACAATGCAGGAAAGATAAATTTCCCATTTTTATCAGATGTAACATGACAAAGTGGCTTTTCAGATTCAAATCCTTTAACCGGTGATGTTTCACACTTCATAGCAGTTCCATTCTGTGTATAATTAAATAAATATTAATATTTCATATTGAAATAAACTTTTAATTAATGATAAATCTCACCCCAAAAAGTATGAAGGATACACCACTGACAGGTTCATTTTCACTGGTAACTTGACCTTTTACGTCGTATCCAAATATTACTAAACTGCCATCCAGAAGTTCAGCATTACCTTCTTGTACAGTTACTTCAACTGTATCTTGTTTTATTATCCACCTTGATCAATACAAAAATATCATATTTTCCAGTACAATATAAACATAGTTGTAATACAAAATACATACGAAGGATGAGATGCGACGAGTATATATTTTCCTGGTTGAATAGGTGTAAAATAAAATGTTCCGCCATCAGCAGTCTTGGTCGATCTAACTACAGTTTCTCTATTATTAGCATTATACAATGAAACAGTAACATTTTTTGGACCGGATAAAGAATTATAACTGGTTACCTAATAATGAAGCATTATGATTATTATATATATATTTACACATACATTATTTTTTAAATAAGATCATTATTAAAATAGAATGAATTACCTTGCCAGTTATACCAAAACCTTTGAAGGTAAAATTAATATCTTTTCCTTGACTGCAAATATCAGTAGAACCATCTACGTTTAAATTCACTTCCATGGGATCGAAACTCCAACCTCTTGGAGGATGTATCTAATATTAAATATTTGAATATAAAATTATTATATTATTATCAGTCAATGTGTCAAAGAAATGATTTTAAAATCTGTATGTGGTATACCTTTAAAATATATTCTCCTTTATCGTAGAGGGGTAAAAAATAATATCCATTATTCGGTGCACATTCTGTTTCATCTTTTAAACTACCACCTTTAGTATACCTAATACATAAAAATTGATTAATTAATTATTCAATTAATTTGATAATATGCACGATTTTATAACCTCTAATACGTATATGTACAATTTAATATGAACTTTGGTAAAGTCTATCTCGGCGTGACTTTTTAAAAATCCACCACATCCTAAAATATCTTGTGTAATTGTTTCTTTAAATAAATTGTTAAAATAAATAAAGAAAATAAAAAAATTAAATTCCTTTTTTAACAACTTCATCGTGTACTTAATGGATTACAACTAAAGTGAAGTTGTCTCTATGATATAACTTTATTTTAATACGCATGCGCTATCTAGCATATATTGTTGTCAGGTTAGAAATATTTGTTGATATCACGAAAGCAAGAGAAATTAAATGAAATATTAAAAGTATTAAAACGTCTAGGATAAAAGAAAAGGAAGAGAAAAAACAAGTGATTTAGTTTTTAAATCTGTGTGAAAAGTTGTTCCAAAATAAAATTCAATAATTGTCTATTACCAAGGAAAAAAAAATGGTTAAAATAGCATTGAAAATCAAAGTATTGTTGGAGAATATTGAAGAATTGAAATCATCAGGGAAAAATCACAATTGGTATTTCAAATTTAAATGTACCAATTGTGGTGAGATAACAAAGAAATGGTGTTCTATTTCTTTAGATGATACCGTTCCAAGTACCAAAGGGAATGCGGTTAATCATTTTTTAGCTAAATGCAAGCTTTGTGGTCGTGAGATATCGATAACTATTTTAGAAGATTCTATTAAATCATTCACTGCTGATGATCAAGGAAGATTTAAGGATATCGTTACATTAGATTGTAGAGGATTAGAACCATGTGATTTTTCTGCACGAGAAGGATGGATTGCTAAAGCTATCGACAATGGTACTGAATTTAGGGATGTTGATTTATACGAATACGAATGGATTGAATATTGTGAGAAAATAAAGAAGCCCGTTGGAATAACTGAAATTGAACACAAATTTGAAAGAGTTAAATAAAATATCTATTTATATAAATGTATATATATATATATAAATATTAATTAATTCTTATTTAATCTTTTTCCATATCTTTTTTTTATTGATTATGAAGTGTACGTATAAACATATATACTCTTTTTGGATTAACGATTATTAGATTGCTTTTATACATTATACTCATTATTGTATTATATTCAACAATGAATATTTTGTAGTAGCAATTTAGAATGATACTAAAAGAATATTAAATTGAAATTATTTATCGTAAAATAAACATTTAAGTTCACGTTTATATTAACTATGTACAAAGTCTTTGAATAGAACAATAATTTCTTAACTTATGCACGAATATGTTTGAATTAAAATTAATTACCAATTAAAACACGATGAGATCGTAAAGGATATGAATCATATCGAGACACATAAGTCTAACGACATAATATAATTTATTTATAATCATATAAAAAAACCATTTAATTTTATAAATGGCTGAATACAGAGGAAATATTCATTCGCAACAATTATTTCGCTATTCCTCTGAATATGTCCAAATCTGTCAATTGTTGCCAAAAACAAATGCCTGCAATTATGACCACAAATTAAAATTTTCAAATTTCTTTAACTATATTATTATTATTATTTAAAATTAACGAATGAATTTGGAAATAGAAAATATATTTAAATTTGAAATATATTATATTATTAATGTACTTAACATTCTATACTTCTGGAATGTATTTTAGATGCAACTAATTAAAATAATGATTACTTTAAATACATATTAATTCATCTTGACGTAGTAGTTTGTAAAATTATAATCTTCATTGATTAAAAACTAAGTCTGTACAGTTTGTAAGTATAAAAGTTTGAATTACTTTATATAATCTAAGCTAGCTTAGAAACGTAAAACATAATCCTTATTATTACCGGGATTTTTCTTCAACCGGTTGTACAATGTACAATTAAAAAAGTTTTTCATCAGCGATATGCGTAAAATAAATGACAAGAAATATAAAAAGAAATATTCTAGACTTTTTTTTAATCATTGGTTATCTAAATTTCTAATTTTACTAACACTATATTCTTCTAATGATCTCTTTTTACTATGCTTTTCTAATACCTAACACAAATAAATATCATGTGCGCATTACATTCCATTGCCCATTAAAAAGAGATTTAACATATAAATCACATATAAATAATCATTTCTAAAATGTATTAATCTAACAATAATAAATAACTCTATCAGTCTATTCTCACAAAAATATCACTGCGACTGAAACTATTATCTTATTCTTTCATAATCACCAGAGTCAAATCTTTATGCATCCTATTTAGGGAGTAAATATCACATTTACACAGAACGTTGAACCAGCTTTCCTTTTTCTTTTCTTTCGTACGAAATAACCGGAGTATTTTGTATTTCTTAATTTATTACAACAAACATTATTTAATAATATCTAGTTAATATACATTATAAAGATAATATTCGAACATTGATATTAAATAACAATACTTTTTAATAACACGCATCGACTTAGCATTGATTAAATTAAGATAGGCCATTTAATCGGCGATTATGTTCTTATCTAACGAGCAATATTCCGCACCAAAGAATGGACTCTGGTAGATCTGGTGAAGATTTACAAATTTTTTCTAACGCAATACAAATAATTTCTTTCCTACGTAATTAGAAATAAACATTTTAATAATCATTTTAAATGATTCAATGTTATTAGTGTATATGCGCAATTAGTATTTTGTTTGTTTAATAAACTAAATAATTCTATAGTACTATTCTAGATTATCATCTTTGGTATGGTAATGGGAAGTATGCTTATTCTATCGACAGCAATGTTTATCTTGCCAGTCTGATAATTGATATTACTCTTTAAAGGTATGTATATCGTAGATATAGGAACATTATGAGTAATGTTGATGAATTACAATACGCCATTTCGTTTAGTTCTACTTTTTTTTTTTTTAAATAATATATATGCAGTTGCTGTGAGAAAAAGAAACAAAATATTTCGGGTAGGAAATTTCTTATATATATATACTATACATTTGTACAGTATACTGAAAAAATAAAATGTAATTAAAACTTATTCTCCTTTGCAGGACGTACGAATAATCTCTTTGCGCGTGATAATCAAACAATATTGATAAAAAATCTAATAAAATTTTAACGAGCAAAAACATTTCAAAATTATTGTGCGTACTGCGTTAATTCTGCGATAGAACAAGTTTTTTTGTGGGATAAATTTGGGCCATATTCATTGGGTACACAATTTAAGGAATTCCCTAATATCTATAATTGATTATTATAGTTTTTCATTATTACCTACCTGTTTATGCTTCTGCTAGATGTGAATTCCTAGATATTTCCTATATGAATAGACTACATGCATTTATTTATTTATTTTTTTTTGTTTTGCTTATCTCGTTAAATATTTCGTTTAGTATTCGCTCGTATTTAATATTTTTTGACGATAGTTTCTTTTTTTTTTTAGAGGAATTTTTCTTATCTCAAGCTTGTTTTTTAAAAAGATTAAAGCGACACCTCCGAATAGGCCCGTCAGACTAACAGTCCAAAAAAATTTCTACAAATTTATTAGAATTTAACTTCTCTCTCTTTGAACACACTACTTTAATATAGTTCAAGAAAACCTAATTGTGAAAAAATCTCAATTAAAATGTTTGATAATAATTTGTATCCTATTAATGTGCGAGCACTTGCTAGAAATATTATCATGAAGTTTCTAAGTCGTCAAAATGTGAACGAAATTAAAACGAAAATATATATATATAATATATAAGAAGAAAAAAAAAGAACAAATAATCGAAATACTTGAAGCGTCGTTTAAATTGTGTGTAGAGAGACAACAAGAATGATGCCTACAAAATATTATGCAACATTTTTCAATTACGAATGGGTTTTCTTACCACTTATAGAGACAGGGCAGAAAAATACATCGATTCGTTTAGCGTAATTCATTAGAGTTGTCATATAGCATTCGGTAGTAATTCAGCTATAGTGTATTATTTTTCTTCCATCGTGATTTCTGCCATCTTAGATCCCCTTTAATCTTCAGCGAAATGATATTGTTACAATTCGATGATTAAAAGTACGCTAACGAAATTCGGAGAGAATACAGAGAACGTTCCTGAAAAATACTTACAGCAGATTCTTTCTTTCTCCGTCGTTCGACAGTGTAATTTTGTTCTTTTTTTTTTTTTTTTTTTTTTTTTTTTTTTTTTAAATTATCAATCGACGATCTACCTATCTATATAAATTTGAGTATTTTTCACGGGTATACTACTCTCATTATTTTGTTTCTTTTATTATATTTTATCTTTCGTATCATCTTGCACGCACCCGAGCAGTAGTAATTTTGTAAATTCGTCAGTCGTAATCAGGTTGCACTATAATGTGTGACTGTGCAAACAAGGGTTTTTTTTTTTAATTTGAATGCTGTATGTGTGTTTATAGTCAAAACCACCACACAACGGGATTCGTGATCGTGTATCGCTGAAGAGAAGAAATCCAGCTTTTCTCATTCGTGAAAGGATGATTTGGTATTTTCTATACATAGTAGTAATAGTAGTAGTATTGATAAGCATCATAGTGTTAAGTTCAAGGCAATTCGTCAGACAATACCGGCTCCAAACAAGTTTGCTTTAACGTAGCTGATTGATCTTCCAGACTACGTTTTAAACCTTCTATAGTTTGCATCAACATTTGCCTTCGTAATTGAGTAAGCTGTTGTTGAAATAGTTGAGAGTCTTGAATATTAGCATTGGATTCCGCAGCTAAACGTTCTTGACGTAGTCGTGCTACTTTCTCCTTCAAGGATCTTCGAGAATCATCTGAATAATCCAGTGATACGATAGAGTTTATAAACGATCTTCTCGGATAAGGGACAACGAAGTTTGTGAAAATATTTGAGGGCTCACCGGTGTCATCAGTGGCCGTATCACCATCTGAATTTCTTAGTAACACTTGATTATGATGATGATGACCTAATGTCTTTTGTATCCTACCAAAAGTCGCACTACCGGCGTAAACCTTTCTTTTAACTGGTTCACTTTGAGGGCAGTAAGAAGAACCTTCCTTGATCGGGTCCATGTCGATCGATCTGTGAAATGAAAGATAATGAAACAATATATCAAACATATAGAATGACGAATAAATCATCAAAATTTGTGGATCTATTTCGATTCTTAGAATATTCCACCTGAACGTCATCAGAGGAGGTTTCCGCCTGATGTCACACTTTTCTTCAGAATCCGACGAACTAGAAGTCACACTTTCTTCCTTCATCGATCTTGAAACTCTCGAATCCTTCCTATTATCTATCGTTAGCCGTGAAGAATCTCTATGCTGTTGTTGTTGCGGAAGAAGTTGAGTAGTCTTATTGGAGAAGGAACCTTGGAATGGTTGACACCCCGTTGTTTCAATACCAGTGTGAGGTACTCCATTGTAATTTAACAGTACACGAGCTCGTCCATTATCTTTTCCACCGGTCGTAGGACAAACACGTACACGAGAATGAACGAGACTTCTGCTAGGTGAACTTTGGGGTGTTCTTCTAGCTACGTAAGGTGAATCAGGACAATTGGAAAGTTCCTGTTTAAATGGAACGTCCCTCGATATGTTTCCGCACGAATTTCTTTCCATAAATCGATGTACCGGAGAACAGGGCTGTGTAAATTGTCTTTTCGGACTGGTATGTTCTATATCCCTGATATTCCCGCTCTGTAATTCTGGTTGAGAATTTCTACTTTTGGATAAAGCAAGTTCGATGTTCAATTCGGTGTTCTTGATCAATTCGACGCGTTTGTTCGCCAGGCCATTGTGAAACTTTCGTGACGGTGAGGGTACGATCGGTAGTGGGCTTTGATTCTTTTGCATATTTACCAAGATATTTTCAGCTTCCATAATCAACTCGCGATACTTCCTGTCGGCTTCCTTATCCGCTTCGATCAGTGCTATTTCTGACGCGAATGTTGTCATGTATGTGTTTCCAGTGACCTGTCTTCTCACTATGTTTCCATTAACGTAACTCACCTGTTAAAATAAAGTTTAATAAATTAAGTGACATCGACGTTAAGTGCATTATTATCTTTCTTCTTATTTTTTTTATTTATTTTTAATAATCAATTATTATCAATTATTTAGCGAATTTTCGGTGTCCCATAAGTTGAAACTTCGGGTATTGGATTTTACGTCTATTTGTTAAAATGCTAATAATAAGAAAACTACAAATCTTTATTATTGAAATTTTCTAGAAATATTTGATTTGAAAAAGTTTTTATTTAGAGTGCACAGTTCGTAAGTGACAATCACTGTTTGCGGTTTATTGGACTAAGCGCATTATTGGATGCAAATGGATTGAGCTTATTGTTAGATAATCTAAGGATAAATTATTAATTTGAGGAAAAAAGTGGTTCGTAGAAGTTCGTTAGCTTGCCGAATTCGCGACAATAATTAATGTATTATTAATAATCGATGATTACCGAATTAGAACGTCTTTTGACGACCTCGTTTTCGACGATCGTAGGTTGAACCATCGATTGATTATTATCGTTCAACCTCATAGGGGATAGATTTTTATTAACATCGTGTTTCTTACGACGAAGGCATATAGGCGTTCCACCTACGCTTCTACTACCCTGATTAAATCCAGAATTCTTTAGCAACATTCTCTCTACCAAGACTCGATTTAAATTAGCTGTCTCGTCGTCCAACTTTTCCATGTTTGGTTTCCTCCGTTGAGAGATTCTCTTCTTACGTTTCTCGCTTTGTTTCTCATCTGTCTTTTTGTAACGAATACTTTGCCTCTTTGCAGCGTTCCTTATGCTGATCGTTCTAAAAATAAAATCACTATATTAACTTTAAAGCAATAATTATGTAATAATACACATTCACTAGTTATATTTAGCTTTTAATTCTAAATTTATTGATTATTTGTATTCCAGTTCAACGATCGTTTTTTAATCAAATGTATATTTTTAAAAAGTTTGTAGATAATAATAAAACATTATTAATAGTTATAATTGTGTCAGAAAGTAAAATTTCAGACAGTAAATTGACAATCGTCCCTTATTTCACACAACACACTAAGTTATTAAAGTATTTTCAAATTTGAATTAAAATATTTTACATATAATAACATTACTTTTTATAATTAATTTTAAAATCGTTACCTCTGTGGAAGAATTTCGTCCTTGTTTCTACGTTTCAAGAATGATTCCCTCAACCTAGTACCACGCCTGCTAAGTTCGCTCGTAAACGTGAAGTAAGTACAATGACCGGTATTGGGACAATTTCCTGTACAGTCGAGATTATCTAAATCGAGGAAGGAACCATTGTCGATGTAATCAAAATCGTTTTCGAAGGGATCGTTCTCATCGCCACCATCTTGACCGGTATCAACGTCTGACAAAGAGTCAATGTAATCCTCGCAATCGGTTGGGTCGCTATCGGACAAGATATCAGTTTCCTTTTCGTAGACGTAACTTTCATCGAATTTTCCCATCATTTCGTTCAACGTAATGTCATCTTCGGATGAACGACCACTTCGTGTTACCGATGATCCAGATGAACTGCTGCTGCTTGTACGACGTTGCATAGCCAATGGTATTTTCGGTCTGATATCCATACCCGGTAGGATCCTCCAATTTTGATTAATCCTATAGAATAAAAATATTTTATTAATATGATTGACGAATTAAAATTAAACTGAGAACGTTAGAAAGAAAATATTGTGCAGTTAGTTTTCTTATTTTATATATAGGGCTATCCTTGTCCTTCGATCTTATCCGATAGTATCCTTCGTTCACGATGAAAGGCTAATATTTGTTGGAAGGTTCGAGTGCTTACTCAAAGGGGAAGGTCGAGATGGGATATGACAGATATGGTAGGGATGGACGTTGTGACGCGCGTAATATGTTGAGAATCTTTTGATGGGTTGGGTTGAGGAGGGAGATGGTGGTAAAGGGGGGAGGGGAATATATCAAGCGAGATCGTCATCCTTTGTATTTACCTACGTCATCGAACACGTCAAAAGGCTACATTAGCTTATTTAACTTTAATCGATTTTAATCTGAATTATCCCAGTTAGGTTTTATTTAGAATTTTTTATTTTTATCCCTAGAGACGTTTTAAATTATTTTTTATTCAAAAACAAAACAAAACAAAAAAAGTCTCTTATAATAATTATCTACGATAATTAAATTGTTCGATACGATTGTTCAGCTTTAAGTTGACTTCGTTTGAATATTTCTCCATAAAACAGCCAAGTATATCGGACCATCTACATTTACACGCTGACATACTGGAACTTCTGAAAACACGTTTAATGTTCTATCCACATTGTTCATCGTCGTTTCCTTTGATGTCAACATCGTTCCCGTAAGCTCGAACGAGAACGTATTTGCTATTTGCGTTGTGGCTATCCATACCTTTCATGGGGAAGAGAATTCATATTATCGATCGTCTACCTTTCATTCTATATCTTTTATATCAATTTCAAAACGATATTCACAATTAAATTCAACTGATAGTTATTATCTAAGATTGGATCCATTGGCATCGTTGTTCGTACTGTTCACAGTCAACGTATACTCTTTCTTTCTCAAAAAAGAAAAGGAACATTTTCCAATAAATTGATTATCATAGATCGAATTGTGTAGATTGTTCTTTCAAAGATATTTGTTTAGATAAAAGAAAAACAAAAATCTGTGTAAGTTACTAACGGACTACGTCCAGCGCTGAGACTCTCCTGACGGTGTTCCTTCTTGGTTAAACTTTCTCTCGTGCTGTTAACATTGACGTCACTTGCGCTACCAGAAGATTCGGTCAATTTGAGACCTGAACTGCTGCTCGTCTCATCGAGGGTTAGCCTAGATTTGAATCCAGTCGTGCTGGAACCAGAAGAGTTTGCCGACAACCACGGATTCGTTCTTATTCGTGATCGTTCGCGTGGTGATTGTACGGTTGGTGAAACGAGTGGGGGAGGTATCGAGGATGGTACAGGAAGATTGTTCCTTGAGGAATCAGCTGAGAAGGATTCTGTTCTTCTATGGGAATTTTCTTGCTGTCTTTGCGGAGTCTGCGGTTGTTGTTGTTGTTGTTGTTGTTGCGGTTGTTGTTGCTGTTGTTGTTGTTGTTGTTGTTGTTGTTGTTGTGGTTGTTGTTTCGATCCATGATTGATCGGTGGGGCTTCGGAGCTCTGCAAACATTTTTTTCGACGTACATAGATAGCACTATTTAAATCATAATTAAATTTTCAATATTTCCCTTTTCCTCCGTTGGGTGGGCTTATTTTCTTAACGAGCACTTACTTAATTAGATTGAAAAAAGAAAAAAAAAACAGAACAATTTACGCTTGATATGTATAAAAAGACGAAAGAAAATAAAAGAAAAGATAAGAAAAGAAAAAAACACACGAAAAGGTATAATATCTAAAAGGAAGAGAGGACTTTCTCGTTAATTTATTAACGAGGATTAATTTGAACGTCCTGTTACGAGAACGTAACAAAGTTTGTCTTCTCAAATCGATCTGTTCCTCGTAGGAGGAAGAAAAAAGAAAAAGAGGAAGAAAAAGAAGAAGAAGAAGAAGCAGAAGAAGAAAACAAGAAGGGTGCGTTCATTTTTTATTCCTTTCTAGTATACGGTACGAGGACGAACCCGCGTTTCTCGAGAATAAGGGGGTGCGATTTGAAAGGAAAAAAAAGTGTGGAAGAAAATGAAAAAGAACTGAAAAAAAGGAAAAAAGAGAAAGAGAATGGGAATGAAGCTTGGAAATAGGAGAAGGGGATGGGGTTGACGGAGGAGGGGATGGGGGTAGGAAACTCAATAATGCTTTTTTTCCGTAGACCGCTCGTTTAAGCGCTTCCGTGAAAACGTCCGTTCGATTGTACCAGACGACGTGGAATGGTCCGACCATCACCATCACCAACCACCATCACCATTAGCAGCAGCAAAAGTAGAAGCAGTAGTAGCACCAAAGAGGATGAACAGGAGGATGAGGATGAGAAGAGAAATCGGTTCACGGTTTTGAACAAAAATTTCGCACTGTATCCGTTCCTGCCATTTTTCATTCTTTCCTTCGATCGGTAGCTAGTTACCAGAATACGAGAATAGTTTTTTTAATCGTCTTTCATTCACTATTTTCCCTCTATCGTCTTCTTTTCATCCGTTCGTACGAACGGCACTTTTCTTCGAGAAGGGATTCTTTTTTTCTTTTTTTTTTATACTCGTTTTAAAAATAAACAAGAAAATATAGATATTTTTTTTTCGATATATTTAACGAATTATTTATTCGAAATAATAATATTTTTTTGTTGCTAAAGGGGGTAAAATACTTTGATTGAAAAAATCGTATCGATGAGCGTGGAACATTTTATTGTTTTTTTTTTGTTAGATATCTAAATGATCTCGAGTTTTCTTACAGTCGATTTTTTTTAATTTCCATGCTTTTCTTTTTTTTTTTTTTTTTTTTTAAATCAAAATAACGAATTAACGAATAATTTAAGGATTCTTATTAACTCATAAAAAAAATAAATTTTCGTTGGAAAAATAAAATAAAAAGAAAAAAGAAAAAAGAGAAAGAAAAAAGGAAGAAAAAAAAAAGAAATGGGGAATGGAAAAACTATTGTTCGTCGGACTATTCGAAAATCGATTTGAATGAAAGACCTTTAGAAATTATTCTCGTATATAGACACATACACCTATATTCTCACTTGTGTTAACGTTAATGATCCGTTCTCTCGCGAATCGCTCGTTATCGGCCTAAAATCGGTGTGGCTTTCGTGGGAAAATATAGGAGAAGAATGGCAGTTCTTGTTTGTATTGAACCGTGAGAAGTCTCGTTCTAAAATGTATAAGTTTCGTTTGTGCTAGGTGAAAAAGAAGGGTGGGAGTAAGACAGGTATATGAGTCAGAGAAAGAAAAAGAAAAAGAAAAAGAAAAAAAAAGAAAGATAGAGAGAGAGAGAGAGAGAGAGAGAGAGAGAGAGAGAAAGATGTCGTTGAACCCGAGACGTCAAAGCATCATAAGATCTCTAAGAAAAAAAGAGAACCACCAACGAACCAACCAACCAACCAACTAAAGGGGTAGCTAGTAGGTGGTTCTGTGAAACGATGCTAATCTCCCTACGACGAACGCGAACCTTCGTTTTCTGTCTATCACCACTAAAAAGGAAATTCTAAAGAAACTTCCTACTTCCGTGTCGTTATATTAATTGAGAAGCCATAGATGAGACACCTCTGATGATATCCTGCACAATTTTTAAGGAAGATAATATATATATTAGTTTATTTTTTATATTTTACGAGTCGTTCTCTCACCTTGACCAATCGATTAATTCAACGATTATTCAGTTAACCGTAACAATTATAAATATTCGTTTTCATTGATTTGGCTTGTGAACGATTCGTAATACGTTAATAATTGAATTTTCTATTTGAAATCTCTATAATGCCCCGTGTAACATAGAAATTCTATATTAAATTATTAGAATTATCAAAATTGTCTAAATGATCGGTTTAAATGTCTGATATAAATCAATTTAAGATTTGCAATAAGATATATTATTGAAATAAGAATTATTCTCCTTTTTTTTGTGTATTCTCCAACAAAAATAGACATTTTATTTTATAATTGCAACATATTCTACATTCTAAAAATCCTCTTAATACATAATCGGATTATAAAGGGTTAAGTGTAAACGATCTCGGAGTTTTGTTTTCTTTTCTTTAATTAAGTTAATTAGGGGGAAAAAAAATGTTGACTTACAAGCGTGTTTAGCTTGGCCGGGGTGCTGGTTCTAACGTCCTTGAGCTGCTTACTGTCACCGGTCATGTTCGTAGACTTGGTTGACTCTGAGTTAGATCTGTCTTCGATCCTCCCCGCATTTCCTTGCGCCCTACCTTTATTGTTACTTTGAAAATAATGCGTTCCCGTCCTGATATTGATGTAATACTCGGGCGGAAAGCTCGTACCGGGCGACGTACCGTCCGTCGAATATCCGGTACTGTAGGCACTTTCCGGAGACGAAAGATTCACGCTTCCGGTACCACCGGACGTACCGGAAGTGGTGGTCACCGTTCCAGCGTAACCACCACCACCACCACCACCACCACCAACACCACCACCAACACCACCACTGGATCCACCGTGCAATCGAATCCCGTCTACGCCGTTCTTTGTTGGAGAATCCACAGGATGTACCTAAAATTTCATAAATTCAGAATTTAGTTCGATCTAGGGTAGTATAAGGAGAGGGAAGGGGAGGAGGTTGAAATTATCAATCCTGGATATTTTATTTTACAAGAAAATTATTAATTAGTAATTAAAAATAGGAATATATATCGTGAATTTTTATTTATACGGTAAACGATCGGAAAAGTAAAAGAACAAAAATGTATGCATTGTTTGTTCTTTGGTATATTATTATTAGAATTATTTTTTAAAATAATTCTCTTGATATTTATATATCCAAATATATAACATTGGTTTTGTATCGCAATAAAAAAAATAATGATCATCAATTTAATTCAACAAAAAAAAGAAGTGTTGTTGAAGATCAACTTCCAATTACTATTATATAGAGACACAAGAGTTTTATGTAATATTAAATTCGAATTGTGTTAGGATAACAAATAAAATTCTATGTAAAACGATACGACAGATTATTATAATATTATCCTTTCACCTTCGTCGTTCGATGAAGCAAAAAAAAAAAAAAAAGAGAAAAAAAAGAAAAGAAAAAAAACATCAAGGACGTGATAAAACCTCGAGATTATTAATAATAATAAAAAAAAAAAATATACTACATACACAACGACCTACAAATTAAGAATAAAAATGATTGAGTGTAACAATTAGCCAGACAAAGAAGACAGTGTGTGTGTATGTGTGTGTGTGTGAGTGTGAGGAACCATTATTATTATAATTATTATTATAAATTTTATTGATTTATTATAGAGAGAGGGAGGGGTTGGAGGGGTGGGGTCTAGGAACGAAAATTTATCGAGAAAAATCACTAAAGACAGTATAATAAATTTCAATGGCTTTTGTCGACGTTAAAAGCTCTCGCCATTAGTTGTTACAACGTTTAAAGATCGAGAATTACATTCGGGTAAAGCGACTAGGTAAGTAGCCTTGTAAAAGGTTAGAGAAGAACCAGCGGTGAGGTTATAATTGGATAGCTAAGGTAAAATGAGGAGAAATTAGAGAAGCAAAAGGGAAGAATAGAATGTGAGACAGAGAGAATAATGAAAGAAAATGAAAGAAAATGAAAGAAAATGAAAGAAAATGGAATGAAAAAGATAGGAACATAGTTTGTAAAGTAGAAAAAAAGAGAGTGAGATAAAAGACAACTTTGCTTTTCTAGGGTTGCGAAACAACGCGGGGCGGCTGGCTGTTTTTTTGTTTCTTATGTTAGATAGACCTTGGGCGAGAATACTAAACTAGGTCTTTTTACCTTCGTTTTTCTCCTTCAATCTTTCTTTCTTTTTTTTTTTGTTCTTTTCTTTTCTTTTTTTCTTTTTCTCGTTAGCAACGAAGACTTATAAGAAAAGGGTTTGTTAGGGAGGAAGAAGAAGAAGAAGAAGAAGAAGAAGAAGAAAGTCGTATATCCGCGGAGTGGACGCCTCTAAGAATAAACTAGGAGGTTAAGATCGTTGAAAAAAGGGGATGGAGAAGCAAAGTGGTTAGCACGTTGCAATCTCTAAGATCGATAAGGGGGGTTTTTCTTTTTATTTTTTTTTTTTTTACCAGAGTGGCTACTTAGACATTTTATGTTACTAAACTTTTTCGATTGTTTGCACTTCAGGTTCTGAAGTTTATCGGTAAGTTAAATCGGAATTGGAATATTGGGAATTATGATATAAACAATATTGAGAGTAATTTGATATATATATAACTGAGAAATTATTATTACAATTTGTTGATCATTATTTTGAATATCTGTTAATCGGATGGGAAATAAGTTGCAAGGTTGTTGCACTTACTTGATGCAAAGCAGGTGATCTATTGGCACTGTGACTTCTAGGCGAGTTGCAGTTAGAATCGAATCCTTTATCCCCCTTTTTACGATCCTTCTTTTTCTTAGATCGCACAATGTGTGCCTCCATCCACGTGCGCAATTTCGTCCCGAACATGTTGTAATGGATTCCGTTCAACGGATCGGCGTCACCTCGAAAATGCACAAGTGGACAGAGGTCGACACACACTTTTAAATTGATTTAAATTTTATTTTTATATTTATCTATGCACTCGTTCATCGAATACATGTCTCCGTTCCAATTTGAAACGGTCTACTCTGTGAACAATCAAATAATTATTGCATTTTTTTAAGTATTTCGTTACTCTTTTTTTACTATATTATTATTTTTACTTTTTTACTATTTTTTACTCGATTTTTTACTATATTAATTTATTTTTTCTTTTTCTCTAACAACCCCCACCCCTCCCTTCCCTCGCCCCCACAGACTACAAAGCTTTAGAATTTTTATACGTATAATCTGAATGTAATAAGTTATTATTGATTTTTATTTAATAACATTTTTATTCCAGCTTATAATTGAAATCAAAAATTAATTGAAATATCAATGATTTTTTTTTTTCGACGATTTATCGATTAGAATTATTTGAATGTAACACGAATAAAGGAAATTTATTTATTTATTTTGTTTTCTTTTTTTTTCATCTATCTATAAATCCTTGACACACTTTTATATTATTATATACTATATTTCTACGATTTCTTTCAAGGATATTATCTCAGTATGGTTTTTCAACCAATGTATTTTGTAAATGTCGTTCTCGCATAAGTGCACGTGTAGTAATCCATAGAGTATCGAGTAACCGATTACGATCATCGATTCCCTGTAGACTATCAGCAGCAAGTTTCGTTCTCGCATATTTTGTCTCGAGTTACTATGTCGTATAAGTATACTTATATATAATCATGGTATAGGTATAGTTATACGTAATACGTATTTCGAAAGACGATACATGTGTCTTTTTGTGATGATCATTATCTTCTTGAATTATCAGTATTTAAATGCGAAATTGACATAAAACATTTATCGTTTTTTTTTCTTTTTTTATAATACGTGTTGAATATCACGTTAATTTTACATGACTTATCACGAATTTGTTATTACGTTGAAATATTATTTAGAACGGATAAGTTAAAGTACATTTATCTAACTGTGATAAAATTTATTGTTAGTTGCCCATGAAATTCAACGCGTTAAAAAATAAATTGTTTATCGTTCAGTTAACTTACTTAAGTTGTCGTCATTGTTTAAAAAAAGCCTTTTTTTCTATCTTTTTATTCTATTAGCGTGGATAGCCAGCACGTTTCTCTCCCAGTCGCCATTTTTTGATCTCGGGAGATAAATCTGTAACAAAAATTCATTTGAATTTATTAGAGAATAAAAATAACAAATGAAATTATTAAATATAATAGAAATTTTATTCTTTTACTATAGTTTATTCTACTATATTGTTGATATCACACACACACTCACACATTTATTAAATACAATATATATAATATATATTGTATACCTTTAATTCAATCATTTGTAAATGAAATTCAATTTTTTGCAAATGACATTTTATTAGAAAAATCGTTAGAAACTTTAATTATCAATTTTGTGATCATTGGTTAACATGATGAAAGCAAAATTTTATGCAGTCAACAATTTTACCACATTTTCTTAGGATTAAAAGGTCGAGTTTGAGATCCAAAGGTCTAAATTTGAAATGCAAAAGGTTGAATTTGAAATACAAACACTCGAATTAGAAGTACAAACGTTTGAATTTGCAATTCAAATGGTTTAATTAGAAGAACAAAATGTTGAATTTAGAATCCAAAAGTTTGAACGTACAATGCAAAAGGTTTGAATTTGTAATGCAAACGTGTTTAAATAGGAAATACAAAAACGTTAAATCGAAAGTAACGCATACACAAAAAATTGAATAAAAAGTACGAAAAAAGAAAAAAACAAAATTGTACGCAGTATGTAATATTAAAATGCAACGTATGCAGACGTTATCCAGGGAATAATTTATTTACGAAAAGACGAAGAACAATCTCTTGGGATGGCATCAAGTAAGGTAAAAATTTATCCCGAAGGATCAATCGGATGCTGTACACGTCGTCCCGATCCCATGGACCAGACACCAACGTGCTTTTCGTGTTTTTCACTTCCGATCACGTATTGCCATGCGAAAAAAGGGGAGAAAAAGAAAAAAAAGAAGAAAAAAAAAAAGGGTTTTCCTGATTCAATCATTCTCATCAACGCCATATCTTTTCTGTCCGGTGTTATCTCGTGAGACTTGTACCCGATTCCGAGAATATGTTCCTACTTTTTATTTTCATCTCTTCTCTTTCGCATTTTACTTTCCTTCCATTTTAATCTTCGTTCCTTTTACAATAATTTTCATCATTCTCAATAAATAAAAATGATATGCAACGAAATATTATAGCATCATAATAATCATATTTTATTATCTTTTTGTTAATAGTTTATTTAATTAATTTTATGAGATAACAAATTTTCCAAACAATGCTCCGAGTATTTACAAATAACAATATTAATAATTAACAGCTAAAATATGTTTTATTTCTTTTTTTTTTAAATTTTAATAAGAAATATGAAATTGATGAAAGAATCGTATTATCAAGCCTTTATTTTAAGCCTTTTCCAATTTCTACGAACAAGTCTTCCATTAGGATAACCTAAATCCGCCGGAATTCGATTAACTATGCTAATTGTACCTGAAAGTTGTAACTATGTTAAATTCGTGGCGTATCCTCTAATTTCCTTTTGTCTTTCTTTTTCAACGCTAACACTTAATCTCTTTCTCTCTTTTATACTTCTAGTGTTAATCCACCATCTGCATAATGTTTCGACTAAACTTCGACTTTACAATGGTAGGGTTGTGTCCTATTAAATTCCCTAGAATTACTCTCTTCGATTTTACACCCTACAATTATTTTCTATTTTTAATATATCTCTAGCTTAGTATATATCACTCGTGAAAAGCATTACTATGATTAAATTCGTTTATGGGTGGATGATAAATCAGCCCCCCGTAACGTAATGTTTCGTTAATTGCATATATAATTTTCATAATAACAGTTAACAGATAACAACAAAATCGTTCTGTACGTTATTGTCCAATAAACGATCGTAATATTATGATGAAATCAAATAAAATTGTTCATTTTATCGAATATTTTGATAAAAGTCAATTTAAATAGTTACGAGATAGAAATAGTAGAGGAACGTTTTAATCAAGGTTTAAGTTTTCCCTTTGGTATCATTGTTATTATGGCATGGTACACTCGCGATAAATTGCAGAGGGTAGTTGCAGTAGCTTCGGCTAACCCTTTCAATCGTATACGACTAGTCCCCGTTTGGTTTGGCAAGCGTAGAAACGGACCACTAACGAGCTCTTGTTTCTAACTAATCGTCAAGCAATCGGCATTAGTTCAAACGGCTACTCTCGTTACCGATTAAATCCTTTCGTTAGTTTCCTTTTCGTTCTATTTGGCAAATTCGAGATCAAAGATGATTTGTTTTTTTATTTCTTCTTTTGAATAATTTCTTTTTAAAATTTATCATTTTGTTTTCGGAGAGTTTGGGGATGTTTTTTTAGAATTTTAATTCAGCTCAAATCAATCGATGGAATGTCGACAAAATGAAGAAATTTCTGATTTGATATTAAAGGTAACGCATTGAAAAAAAAAAAAACAAAACAGAAATCGGAGATTCCTGTTATTTCCGTTTCCACTTTAATTAGTTAACGTCTCAGAAAGCAACCAGGGAAGTTTGGCAAAAGCGCTTTGACAGGGTGCACCCAAATTCTGAAGGGTGGCTCGCATTACCTAGGGTAAAGTCCTTCCTCTACTTTATCTGTCCTTTGTGTGTGTGTATGTGTGGGGGGGAGGGTTTCTGTTCTGAACTTAAACGAGTCGTAGGGTGACGAGAACGAAATGACGAACGTATTAGTCGGGAGGGAAGTTTCAAGGTTTTATTTCTTCTTCTGTTTTTTACAAACTTGTCTTTAAAAATTATCCTTAACTTGACCGAACGCGTTGTATCATAAAAAGAAATGACTAACTAACCGGAAATTTCATTTTTTTTTCCGTAAGAAATTATGCATAATAAAAAGTGTTATGAATCTTTAATCAAACGCACACACAAATAAAATAGAAAATAAATTTACAATATATACAATATATAGTGTTGAAAATTCGTTCGAATAAATTTTCGATTATTTATTTCTATTTATTGAAATGTTAAATAAATTTTCTTGATTATATTATTAATATTTGTATTTATTAACCTTTCTTTGCACTCGAAAGTGAATCAATAAAATTAAAAATGAAACTTTCATTTTCAAATCAAAATTAGTTCGAATAAATATGAATATTAAAACTAAAAATAATCAATTATATAAATAAATAAGATAATAGTTATCTCTTTGTCTCTTTCTCTCTCTCTCTCTCTCTCTCTCTCTCTCTCTCTCTCTCTCTCTCTTGTTCTTTTTATTTATTTTCAAAATGGAAGTGAAGAAAAGTTTCTAACGCCTGTAAGATTTATCGACGTTTCAAAGTTAACATGACGTTAAAACCACGTCCACTCGACCGTCCTGAAAGCCAAGAGGAGTCTCTAACGTTGACGTACTAAAACATATACACACAATAAGGACACACATTTATGCACACACATACACACATATATATATATATATATATAATAGAAGGAGGAAACTTCTCTCTCGATTCTGTCAAGTTTATCTTTAGTGAATCGAGTCCGCTAACTTTCCACGCGGAACGAACTAACTCATCTATACAAGTATATATATGTTACCGTCAAAGCGGGAAATCAGTCATTGTTAGTAATTCCTCGGCATTGTTATCAACGTAAAGCACCTTCCAAAGAAGTCGGAAACAGAAGAATTCTTACAGTTTTTCCTAAGCATTGAACATAATACTTTGATATTTTATGGAATATCAAATTACTATTTAAACAACGTTGAAAAGAATAAATTCTCGGGCACAAGCACCCACAGCCATACGCAATATTTAGTATACTAGAAGTAAAAACTCTTTGAAAAGTTTCTGTATATATTTATATATATATACATATTAAAAATTAATTTATTTATAACTGTATCAAAATTTTCCAGTCATTTTTTTTCCCTTTTTTTTCCTTTTTTTAGACGAAAGCCAATAATTTTAGTAACGACATTTCATTTAGGGTAAGAAAATGAAAATAATTTTAGTCGCGAAAGATTTTGGATATATAGTTTTGTTTCTCTCTCTCTCTCTCTTTTCTCCCTTTTGCGTAGCACGTGCACTGGATTAAAAAACGAACGGAAATTATGGCGGTTCGAGCCCGGTGATTCCCTTTTCCCGGGCAAAGTCCCACGGGAGCCCATGTCGCCGGAAATAAAGGTGCCAAGCCGGTTTCGTTGAAGCATATACAGGGGGGAGGAGGAGGAGGAGGAAGAGAAATACAGAGAGAAAGAGAAAGAGAAACACAGTTAAAGCCACTGTCACTGTTACACGCTCGAAGTGCTTAGGTTCTTTTCGAAGGGGTGCCACAAATATATCTACCAACCCGTATCAACCCCTCTGCATGGCATCTTTTCGCTCCCAGTTATGAATGTGTTCCTATCACATCTCTTGTCTTTTTAACACGTTGCGATAATACGTAAGGATGCGTTTTTAAAACGTCAAATCGAACACGTTTAGAAATAAACATACATACATAAACAAAAATTGTAACAGCCGAAGAAAGCAACCCCTTTTTTTATTTAGTTTTTCTATCGAAACGGATTTTATTTTATTTCGTAATCTCGTTATTGTCATTTTCTTTTTTCTAAAAACGTTTTCATTTTAATTAAGGAATAAAATATATTAGGAAAAGGAAACATTTTCGACAATTTAGCTTGTCGATATTAATTCTTAAACACAAAATGAATTGATGATCCTTTTTAATATTTCAACATTTGTATTATATAATTAACACAATTTTATTAATATAGTTATTTTCTATATTTAATCGGGGAATGAGTATAAAGAAAGAAAAAGAAAGATATATTGTCGGAATTCCAGTAAAATCGTATCCCTTTAAACATGGGGAGGGAAAAAAAAGTTAGTAACACGTGCGGTACAGACACCAGACCACACGTGGTCGATCGTGCGTAACTGGATGAGACGATACATGTATACAGAAAGTGAGTGAGAGAGCGGGGGTAGTTGGGGGGAGGAAAATGGGAGAGAAAAAGGGCGTACATATTCAATTATCAACCCTCTGCTAAAGCGTGAGCAACTAATGGCATTGCCAGACAAGCGAGAACTTATAATTTGTTGGCTGGC